GATGTTTGGGGAATTGGGTGAGACGTTATGGATTTGTGTTTACTGTTTTTAGAATACGAGTCATAGTTTCAAGAAATGTGTTTAAGCAATCGAGAAAAACTGTAATATACTGTCACAATGAAGGGGTTAACAACATCCTTAATGCCAGTGAATATATATTATTGGAATCACCACCAAACACCAAAGATGTTTTGGGTGACAGTGTTGAATGATTTAACAGTTTGTCAAAACCTGCTGGAGCATTAATGTTGTTTTCGAGTAATATTAATTTGATGTCTTTCATGCCAATGCACTGCACATTCAGAAAACAGACTTCCATTGCAATACAAAGCAACATGTTCTCACCCCCAACTCGTCACATTGGCGCTGGGTCAGGAGGACCTACCATCACTTTTTAATGCACAAGGCATCCCTTTAGCGGCATTTTTCGATGCGCAAGTTACTCCATTGATTTCAATGAGGAACCTTTGCCATTATACACGTTGGCCATCAATGTCTGTGTTAGAGCATTTAATATAGTATAACATTTGTCAATACCATGTTTAATTCATTAATATATTTTGCAGTGAAATTAATCATACCCAACCCAGAATCATATAAACTGTTAGGGAAACGTTTCAAAATGAGTCACTCCTAAAAATAATGATCATGCCATCCAGGTCTGTGTGCTCCTCTGGGGTTTCAAAAGCCATGAAACCAATTCATTTCAATTGTGATAACTCTGTAAAGCTATAATCCAGCAAAATTACACATTTCTACATAGCATAACATTTCTATTTTCCATATTCCTAGTCTCACTATCTTACTGCCGCTCCCAGCTGGAAAATGCCTCACATTTTTTGTTCATTGTTCTTGACAGACACCCACAGTGTCCCGAATAACAGGAAGTCAAGAGCATGAGAAAGAGCACCTAAAGTGATGTGATTCTTATTAGTAGGAGGAAAACATTTAGGTAAATCATTACCTTTACCGTAAATGATGCCTCCAAATTTGGTTACACTTAATAAGGTCTCATTTATGAACATGAATAAGTGCGCTAACCAGGGTTCGACTTGAGGGAGGGATGGCATCCCCCTTGTTGAAAAAAGGTGCTATTTGCAGCGCGTTTTATGTATTTGTTAACATTGTGAGTATTTGCAGCACGTGTTGTCAAATTGATGAGGTTTTCTTAATTTGCTGGTGTTTTTTTCTTCTTCTATTTGCATGTGTTTTCATCAGTTGCAGAGCTCAGTGGCACTTTTGACAGAGTTTCTGGTTGTTTCTATCCGGTTATTCAGAATAGAAAAAAATGCATGGTGTATTGTGACTGTGAGGGATGAGAGAGAGTCTGGTGCTCAGTACATACAATACTACAATGATATCAATTATTTTATGAATAGTGCCTATATTTTTATTCTACACTTTAATCCAATAAATAATTTTTTTTTTTATTCTTGTTCCACTGTAAAAGAACCATTTGTGCAATGAAAACATTTCAAAGTTGTTAAAGTATCTTAGTGGAACCGTCAATTCCAATAAATAACGTCTTTTTTTTTTTTAACTGTGACAAACGTGTGATCAAAAGTGTGATAATTTCATCGTTCTGAATTGAAATGCTGTAGCACATGGGTGTGTATTCAGGTAGACACATGCTTTAGGTCATTTAAATGTAACGTTCAAGATATTTTTGTACTCTGTGTCAAGTTTTTTTGGGTGTGCTTAATTAATAGTTTGTTCTGACTAAATTATGTGATGACATTGTATTTTTGTATGCATCCAAACCTTTAAAAAAACAAAACAAAACACTTTAATCTTTTCTTTGGAAACAAAACTTTGACAGTTAGAAGGGTTTTGGTAAGTTTAGGTGGAGATAGAGCTAGTAGCCTATACTTAAATCAATTTGCGAAGCTCAGAGATAGTTCATCTAAATACACACCCATTTGTAAAAAAACATTAATGCCACCATTTAATCATAATGTGTTGATGACAAGGTAATTATGAAGTTAACCTTAATTTACCGGTTTCTTTTGGCACAGTTGGCTATGTTGGTTTCTTGATTATATGCAAATATTTTTTTCAGTTTTTTTTTTTTTTAAATATAAGTGAGATTAAGCATTTGTCAGTCATGCTGTGAAACACCTCAATGCTACTGTCTTGCACATTTACAGTGATTAAAAATGGTACATTTCTTTCTAAATATTGTGTTTAGAATTATTTAGATTTTCACCTAGTAGTTGAGTTCATAACTGTTACCAAACTCACAACACAAAAGATCTGATTTCAAAGAATGTAAAATTCTGCTCATTAGAAAAACGAGGATGGTGGAATACATTAAATGTATTAATATATGCAATGTAGTTTGTAAACCTCTTTGCACTTTTGCAACCTTTCAAGTATTTTCTTGTGATTATGCAAATTGAGTGTGTGTGAATAGCTTGAGGGAGTTTCTAACACATTACAAAACCTGTCACATAGCATGACATATCCTCTCTCTTACCCTAAGGCGAAAGTTGATGGATTTAAAAGATTACATAAATGATGCATACACTGATTTAAACCCTTATGTAGGTAAGATATAACCAACTTTAATACATTTTTAATGCTACTTTAATTTGGTTTGAATGCTGATGGTTGACATTTTTTCCTACCAAAGAGTTGACACATGGGTAAACTGACATTGTACAGCAGATATTTAATGTTTATTTACAATAGGATATTAACATTTCATACTCATATCATGCATTTATAATATCAGAACAGTTTCAAATATACCTTTTAGTGCCTCAAAAAGCTTCCTTTAAAAGGGTTTTGCTGAGTATAACTGATCATATTGCATCATTTTAATCATGTTAGTAGAACATAAAAAGCAGAGGATATAATGTAGGAAAATATAACTAAAGTTGAAGTATTATGATTTACAGTTCAGTGAACCAAAAGTCTAAAAAAACACCAAACAAAACATTGCATTGGAGAGACTGAAACAGATTTTCTTTTTGAGCCTTTGAAATTCAGTCTTTCTTAGTTTCCGATGACATGACTACAATTTTAGATATGTCATAATTTGTTAACCTACAGAGTCCTTGTTTTTGTACACCTCTACAATCAGGTCAGAGATCAATATTTATTAAATTATTTGTAATGCTTGTCAATAGGCCTACATCATTATACCAACACACAAGATATTATTATGCAGAAACTGATTTACATTGGGTTAGCATTTCAACGTTTCTAGTATACACTAAAACACTTCAGATTTAGTGTTAAAAGTGACCAATATGGGTGAATATCAGCTGACTAGACCATTAGCGTTTTAATTCTACTCAACCAAATAAATCTAACAATTCTTATATGGAGCATAAACAAAGGTAGTGGAACATGTATGTTGGTTGAAAGATCACAATGTGATTCTTTTGAAAGGAGCAATCCATTCCATATTCTCTAAACACACAAGTGGAGCTCAAGTGGCAGTGCAAGATATGGAGCTTTTTGATGATTCAAAACAAAGCTAGTTACTATAACAAATGGGGACATGAATTTAAAGAAGAGGTAGACTGGGCATATTCAAGGTTCCAGGTTTTTTTTCTGCTAATTGCTTTATTGTATTCTAAAAATCTTAAGTATTTTATGGCATTTGACAAAAATCATTAACCATGTCTTCAAGTCCACATTAAACATTAATACATCTCGGTTTCTGTAAAATCTGTTGTCAGGTGTCAGTAACTATGCAATTCTGTAGACAGTGCCCTCTCAGAAAGGCACATCTACTTATAAGAAAAATGAGACCATCATTTATATCATTATCATTTATAATATTAAGAGTATTTCATTTGATAATTACACAGTGCATGAGCTTTTCTGCAAAAACAAAAACAAAGCAGGTCTTTGAATTGACATTATTGGCCAGGTTAGTTAATATTTAAACTGACATTGTAACATAGAAGGGAGTGTCCCAAGACAATATAACACTTGTATGCTACAATAAACATTACACATTTTACATCTGTATAATAATATAATCTGCATTGAAACATTATTATCGTATTTAGTCTTTTTTTTTCAAGCCTATTGAGGGTGCACATTACATTTACAAGAAAGTTAATGCAGACGTCACAAGGTTAAGGCGAAAGTGAGGTCCCCTTTAAATGAGACGATTGTGGGAAGTTGGGATGTGAGTTACTTCTGCTTTTAAAGAATTTTCTCTGTCATCGTTAGAGTGATTTGTGGCAAATTCTGTAATGATGTTCTGTTTTTAAGATGACTGTAGGATGGGTAAATCCATTTCACTTTATCTGGTAAGACTGCATAGCACAAAGTTTATTGTTTTCTAGTTTTCAATAATGAGAAGAGAATGAGTTTCTACAGAACAATGGCCATGGCAGTGCTGCCAATATGTTTTGTTTATTGGTATGCTCCCAATCATGAGTGTCCAAATGGACTTTATTCCACTCTGCAGATAGTCAAGAGTCCCCATCCCCCCACTCCCCTTCCCTTCCCTCCTCTCCTCTTTTTTTTATCATGCTGGCTTAAAATATTCAGTGGTGTACAGATACCCTAGGGATCTTTACACAAAAATATATAACAAATAACTTTTACATCTCATCTGAAGCATTACCATATCCTCTCCGAGAAATCTATACATTCTTGAAACTTCTCAGTATAATTCATGTGCCAATGTACAAGGTACATGAAAAAAAAAATACAAAAAGAGAGGCTATAAGTATTTAACACTGCTAAAAATTGAAAGGATTGAATATACAAAAATATATGATTATGATTCTGCCATGAATGTTGTGCAGAAAAAAACTGTATATGATAGTTTCATATTGTCATGTGAAAATTAAGAGAGAGAAAAATAACAAGTGACAAACATATGTATATATATATAAACTAAATATATAAAAATGAAATAAAATATTAAAGCCAGTCTTGTATAGCAATAGTATCCCCATAATTAAAAAAAAAAACATTAGCAATATCATGCAGAGCAGGATAAATGTCCTTTTTGTGTACATAAATTAAGCAACTAAAGAGGATTGAGTTTGTGATGATGTGAATATTCTCTTTTCATCATAGCAACAGTTCCTGCCTGATGCTAAAGCTGTAAGGGCTTGCTTTAGCTCATCCATCTGCAGTCCACCATGTGCCCCTGAATCATAACGGCGGCCATAGCTAGTGGGGCTGTAGGATGAAGAAAAACCCATGGACAAACCTGAGCCTGTAGCATCAAAACTTCCCCTTCTAGAGCCTGATCTTGAACCAGTTCTGGATCCAGACCTAGACCCTGAAGTTGATCCAGAGCCACTGATGCTGTATGGGCTGTAAAGACCTTTACTGGACTGGGAGGACGCTTCTAGCAACCTCAGGCCAGATCCTTCCTCTATCATACTTCTGTCCATGGCGTCCTTGTATGAGATCTTGAGTTTTGTTTTGGGGCAGGTGAGGTATTTGGAATATCCACTGACATCTCTTAGTTTCTGTGCAGTGCGTGCATCTAGATTGCCCTTCTTAACAGCATCATCCAGTGGTACTCTTCCTGTAACATCTGGTTCAATCAAACCACCTGTTAGGTACTGGACTTCAAGGAAACGTTGGCCAGCTTCGTAGTAGAGCCAACCCTTCTTTAAGGCTTGAGAGGCAGACATTTTGGTTTTGGTTCTTGGATCTTCAAATCCCTGAAAAGCTTTCTGTGCTAGGTTGATACGATCAACCATGATCTTGTCCACCAGCCCTTTGTTCATAGCATCAGCAACAGAGAATTTCTCTCCAGTGTTTGGGTCAATAATTCCCCCTGTGCATGCTTGTGCTTCTAGTAGTCTTTGACCAGTGATGTTGTCAACTAGATTCCGATGCATAGCCTCCGTAACTGACACCTTTTCCAAAGTATCTGTATCTAAGATTCCAGCCACTGGTCCAGTTTCCTCAGATGGATCAGTCCAGGTTGTAGCTGGTGTCTTTATGGAGGGAATTGGACTCATGGGATAGGATGAGTTGGACCCAAAGGAAGATGAACGCGATCTGAAGCCACTCATATTGCCAGAGAGCATGTCAGCAAATTCAGTGATAGAAAGGGTACCAGCACGGTACTGGTCCAAAGCAGACTGGTCTATGAGGCCCTTGGAGATTGCATCATCAATGTCATACTGCCGTCCAGACCTTCTGTCAATGATCATAGACTTGACAACACCATCTGATGATGAGGTGGTAATTTCTTCCCATTCACACTCTTGCTCTGCAAGTTCAATATATGTTTGATGGTCAATGAGTCCTTTGCGGTATGCCTCATACACAGACATCTCTTTTCCTGTTTCTGGATCTACGATAACAACTCTACGTTTGCGGACTGAGGACTTAGAGGACGTCTTTCTTTCCCGTTTCTTTTCTTTCATCAGTAATAGAGAAAGTCCAGTTTCAGGGTCTGTTATACAGCGCTCCATCAGCTGGAGGTAAGTTAAATTCTCCTCTGTGTTTGGATCAAAGAACCCCTTAGTGTCATCAGAGGGATCAGTGAGAATACCATTCATCTCCTCATCAAATAGACCCCGCTTGTAGGCCATTTCAACAGGAAGTCGATGACTCTCTTCAGGATCAATGATTCCACCGGTGGCTATTTGAGCCTCGAGCAGACGAACACCATGGTCTTTCAGAATAAGACCTTTCTTCATAGCCTGGAACAGGGAGATCACCTTGCCAGAGTATGGATCTTTGTAGCCAGTCACAGCTCGTTCAGCAGAGAGAAGCTTGTCTTTAAATTCTGGTCCTACGACTCCCATTTTCACAGCTTCGTGGACATTCATTTTGAGATTTTTGATTGGATCAATCACATACCCAGTAGCTGCTTGGGCCTCCAGAAGTTCAAAGGCAGTGCCTGGTCTGATCATGTTCTTCTTCATGGCTTGGTAGACTGAAAGTCGATCTTTTGTAGCCTCTACAAACACACCTGCAATAGAGCTGATGCCTTCAAGATATTTCTTTAGGTCTTTACTGAGGTCCTCAACAGAAATGGTACCCTCCATGAGTGCTGTGTAGGTTTTCTGATCAATAATTTGAGAGCGCAACAACTCCTCTGGAGTGATTTGTTTTCTAAGGCCCTTAAATAGAAGTCTCTTGTCTGCCAGAGACAATAATCGTAAGCCACTCTCTTTATCAATCTTGCATCTTTTGAGAAGTAGGGCATAAGACAGCTTTTCATCTGTTGTTGGATCTATAAACTGTTTGACATCTCCACTTGGATCAGATATCCTCTCACTGGTTTCTTTGTTCATGTAACCACGTTGCATGGCGACATCAATTGGGAGGTGGAAGTAGTACTCTGGATCCATGAGGCCTCCTGTTGCTACCTGGGCCTCCAAAAGCTTCATGGCATAATCCTCAGGAACAAGGTCCTTTTTCATGGCTTGGAATAGAGAAATAACCTTACCGCTGTAGGGATCCTTATAACCTGTGACTGCTCTCTCGGCAGACAAGAGTTTGTCATGGATCTCTGGGCCAACAAGACCCTTCCGGACGGCCTCATCAACTGTCAACAATTCATCTTTCACAGGGTCAGTGATGAATCCTGTCGCTGCTTGTGCCTCCAACAGATCAATGCCAATGCCAGGTTTAATGAGACCTCTCTTCATGGCTTGGTAGATGCTAACCTTAGCATAGTTATCTGAGAGTACTCCAGCAATGCTGCCTGTTCCAAAGAGATAGTGTTTCACACTTGCCATCTCCATAACTTCCCGGATTGTTTTCTTGCCTTGTTTGAGCAGATTGTAAGTTTCAAGGTCTATAATACGAGCTCTGTAAAGTTCATCAATAGTAACCCGGCGTCTGATTACATCACACGACATACTCTGCTCAGTCTTGATGATCTCTTTTTGTTCAATGATTTCAATTATAATAATGATCATTCTCTCTTTTGTGATTTTGCCTGAGCGATACTGTTCAAGGAGCCTTTGTTTTTCCTCTTCTGGAAGCAAATCTGATTTCATGACTTCCCATAAGTTCACCTGTTTTCCAGCAAAACTTTCATGTGGTATGTCTATTTGGGTATTAGCTAAGTCTGTCTGTGCTTGTTCCTCAGTGAAAACATAAGATTTTTCAGCTTGCTCTGGAGTCTGTGCTTTAGAAAGTGGTAACAGGGCAATTCCAAATTCTGGATCGGACATACATCTCTCTTTCAGTTGTTTGTATGTGATATTCTCATCTTTGTTTGGGTCAGTGAAACCTTTGATATCATCTGTGGGGTCTTTAAAAGATTTGGCTAATTGCTTGCTGAAGTAGCCACGCTGAATGGCTATATCACTAGGAAGTCGATGGCTATTTACTGGATCAATTATACCTCCAGTGGCCTCCTGAGCATCTAGAAGAGGTATAGCATGTTCTCTTAGAACAAGCTGTTTTTGCATTGCTTGAAAAAGAGAGATCTTATTACCAGTGTATGGATCTTTGTAACCAGTAACAGCTTTCTCTGCTGAAAGTAGTTTTTCATGAAGCTCTGGACCAACAATGCCAGTCTTAACAGCATCATCCACTGTAAACTTCTCATTCCTGATAGGATCAACTATGTAGCCAGTAGCTGCCTGAGCTTCCAGCAGGGAAGCACCTGTGTTTGATGTCAGTAGTTTCTGCTTCATTGCTTGGTAAATGCTGAGTTTTTCCTTTGTTTTTTCCAAAAATACCCCAGTAATGCAATCAGAACCTTGCAAGTAGCGTTTGATGGAGTCACTAACTTCTGCAGGTTTCTTTTTTCCTTGTTGGATTTTGTCATAGGTGTCTTTGTCAATGATTTTAGATTCAAGCAAGGAACTGGCCGTTACAGGTCCTCTAAAACCATCAAAGTCGCCCTGTCTCTTCATTTCTTTTTCATCCACTGTAGTGATCACAATCTTGATCAGTTTTTCAATTGTGATTATTCCTGATCTATATTGCCGGATAAATTCAATCCTTTGTTCCTCTGTGAAATATTCAGAGTTGATAATCTCCCAAATGGTGACTATTCTTCCTTTAAAAACTCCACTGTGCAGCTCAACTGTAGCATGGCTCAAGGTCTCTTTAGTTTGCGCATCAGAAACTGGTTCTATTTCTTTTGACTTGACTGCCTTTTCAGATAGTGGGAGCAATGGAAAACCAGTCTGCTTATCAGTGATGCATCTTTTCAGCAGTTCAGCATAAGTGACATTTTCTTGTGTGTTTGGGTCAATGAATACTGTATTGGAGACTGATGGGCTGCTTAAGTCTTCATTCATCTTCTCATTTAGGTATCCACGTTTATATGCAATATCTGGAGTGATGCGGTAACTTTTCTCAGGATCAATAATTCCTCCAGTTGCAAGTTGAGCTTCCAACAGACGGACACCTTGGTCTTTCTTAATGAGATCTTTTTGCATTGCTTCAAACAGGGATACAGTTTTTCCAGTATATGGATCTTTGTAACCACAAACAGCTCGTTCTGCAGACAACAATTTCTCATGCAGCTCTGGGCCAACAACACCACTTTTGACTGCTTCATCAACAGTGAGCTTTTGATTTTTCACTGGATCAATTATGAAGCCTGTTCCAGCCTGGGCCTCCAGAAGGTTTAGCGCAGGCTCTGTTCCGAGCAAGCCCTTCTTCATGGCTTCGTAGAAAGACATCTTTTCAGAAGTTGACTCAATCTGCACTCCAGCAATACAGTGTGCCCCCTTTAGGGCTTTCTTGACAGGTTCAAGCTCAGAGACCTCTTTAAGAGTGGCTTTTCCATTGTGCAATTTGTTGAACAAATCTTTATTAATAACCTTTGCTTCCAGAAGTTCAGAAGCTGGCACTGATGATCTCAAACCATCAAATGCAGGTTCCTTCTTGCTTTCCTTGTCCTCTACAACAGTTATTACAATTCTAATAATTTTTTCAACTGTAATTTTGCCTGTCTTGTATTGACGGATAAGATCCTTTCTCTGGTCTTCAGTGAAGTACTCTGAGTTTATGACCTCCCAGATGGTGACAGTCTTTCCTTTGAATCTTCCAAATAGAACTGTTAGGTTTGCCTTACTAAATACATCTTTAGTTTCCTCATCAGTATAAGTTCTTTCAATTTGGGCTGCATGTTCTGTGATTGGCAGTAATGGAATGCCTGTCTCAGGATCTGGTTTGCATCGCTCCAGTAACTCACAATAAGTGAGGCAATCCTGAGTGTTGGGATCAATGAATGTTTTTTTGTCAGCAGGACGGCTGGACAGAATTTTGCTTAGATCATCATCAAGTTGACCTTGCGTGCATGCCATTTGGACTGTTACACGGTGGCTATTGACAGGATCAACTATCCCACCAGTTGCATATTGACAATCAAGAAGTTTTGTGGCCTGGTCCTCTGCAATCAAACCTTTTTTCATTGCTTCAAACAGTGAGATTGTATCTCCAGTGAACGGATCTTTGAATCCTGTGGCGGCCCTTTCGGCCGATAACAACTTGGTGTGCAACTCAGGTCCAATCAACGTATCCTTCACAGCTTCGCTTACAGAGAGTCTTCTGTTCTTAATGGGGTCAATTATGTAACCAGATGAAGCTTGGGCTTCAAGAAGCATCATAGCTGTGCTTTGTGTAATCTTCTTGTCCTTCAAAGCTTGATAGATGCTCATTTTCTGGTTGGAATCAACTATTACACCACCGATGCAATCTTTACCTTTTAGGCACATCTTGACCTTGTCATTCTTAGAAAGCTCTTCCACAGTTGTTTTGCCTTTCTTAAGCTTGTCAAATTCTTTTTTGCTGAGCACACCAATCTCATGAAGTCTGTTTGCAGGCACCTTCTCTCTGATTCCATCAAAAGCCAAGGGTACATCTTTTTTCACACCATCCACTTCTGTAGAGCCATTTAGGACCTTCGTTGTTGTTTCTACCATTTTCATTTGAACTAACTCTTTTTCAGGGACTTTGTCAGTTTGAATTTCAATCTCCTTGGTGTGGGATGGCTTTTGTGAACTCTGAAGCAGCTGGAGTTTTTCTCGCAAGTTCTTGTTTTCCTCTGCCAGAAGCTTCTCTTGTTCAATTCTTTTCTTTTCAAGCTCTTTCATTTCTTTTTGCTTGGCATTCATCTCTTCCTCAGCATCCTTTTGCTTTTTGATGGCAGCATCCATGGCAGACTGAAGTTTCTTCCTCTCCTCCTCCAATTGCCTTTTCTGATGCTCCTGTTCATCTTTAAGTGCTTCAGCCTTCTTTACTTCATCTTCAAATTGCTTCTCCAGCTTCTTTTTCTCTGCTTCAATGGCTTTTTCCTTTTTCAGCAGTGTCTCTTTTTCTGCAAAGAAAGTCTGCTGGAGGATAGTCTTTTCCTGCTGTAACTGTTCTTGTTGTACATTGGCCATCTGTCATAAAACAGCATAAAACAATAATTAATTCAATGCATGGCATGGAAATCACGATATAAGGAAAAATATAACTCAACTCAATACAATATATTTATAGAACAGATAATTTAGCATTTTAAGATGCAGTTATATTCTTTCTTATAAAATTCTTTCTCATATAATTACACCATAACTTACACCTGTCAGTGTACTTTTTAATTGATATCTGTTGTATGCTGTGATGTCACATTTATATAGTGTATTGTGTCTATTTGATTCTGTGGTTATAGTGATCATTGACATGCCAATTAAGTACATCTTAAAGTTATATTTTACCCACAAATGAAAACTCTGTCTTCATTTACTCGCACTCATGTCGTCACAAACCTAACTTTATTCTGCAGAGCACAACATATTTTGAAGAATGTTTTAACTGTTTATGTCCATACAATGAATGTCAAAGGGGGTGAAAATAATATTGGAGCCCATTGACTTTCACTGCATAGGAAAAACAGATTCTTCATAATATTATCTTTGTTTGAGTTCCACAGAAGAAGCGAGTAAATGATAGCAGATTTCACTGTAATCACAGAATCAAAAGAATACAATACATTATGTAAATATGACAACTTCCCAGCATGCTAAAATAGATATTAATTAAAGTTACACTAAAATCTAACAGATGAAATATATTTAGTTCATTATGGACATTTTAGGAAAAATACAATATATTATAGTGCCCAAGTTACAGACATTAGAAACTATTTTAAAATAAATAGTGATACCAACAATGTGCAAATAGGCTGCACAACATAATTGCAAACTAAATGAATACATCGTGGACACTAGTGTTAAAGGGGACCAGAACAACTTTGTTCATGACAATTGCAGGCTTTGTTATCACTGAGACTCATAACATGCAATGTACATGAACAAAGGTTCAGCAATTTTATAAAACTGTTAATTGTTAATTAAGGTGTTTAAGGCTAATATATAAAACACTAGCAGTACTACAACATATAACACAATACCTCTTTTGATTGTTTTTGTAAGTCAGCAGCCTCTTTTTTCAATTTCTCCTTTTCTTTCTCAAGCTCTGCAATTGCTTTATGCAGATCATCAGCCTCTTTTTTGCTCTGCAGTCTCTGTACTTCCAGTTTCTCAACAACAGTGTATTTTTCGGAAGTCTGTTTTTCAGTGTCTAGCAGACGGGTTTTGATTTCATCAGCTTGTTTCTTGAATTTTTTGGCTTCCTCCTCTGCTTTTGACTGAGCATCACTTAGCTGCATCACCTTGATCTTCAGTTTCTCAGCCTCTGCGGTAATCTCTAATTGCCGCTTGCGTTCAGCCTCCAAAGATTTCTGGAAACCTACAGTCTCCTGCTCCAGACGCTGCTGCATCTCCTTTTTGGCCTCTAACAGCTTTTGAGCCTCTACCTGTGCCTGATCTTTTTGTTTCTGGAGCTTTTCGGCTTCAGCCTTCAGTTTTGTCGCCTCAAGAATGGCCTGCTTTTTCTCTTCCAGCATCTTATCAGCCAGTTCCCTCTGTTTGGCAAGATCTGACTCGGCAATTTGTCGTAATCTTGCAGCTTCTTGAGCCTCAATGTTAAGCCGTGCTGCCTCCTCTGCCAGTTTTTTCATATTCTCAGCTTCTTCCTCAAGGAGTTTCTTTGTGTTGTCTTTATCTTTCTTCATAAGCTTTTGGTTTTCCTTTTCAATTTTAAGTTTCAGTTTTAGTAAGTCCTCCATCTGAATCTTAACTTTAGAGAGCTCATCCTCTACTTGAGCCTTCTGCTTCATAGCATCACTGACCTCTTGTTTGAGTCGCTTAAGTTCATCATCAAGGATAGATTTCTGTTTGTCTGTCTCATCAAGTTGCAATTTAACCTTCACTAACTCCTCCTCAACCGAAGACTTCTGCTTCAGGGTCTTTTCTGCAAGCTTTTTGTACTTGGCCATTTCAGCATCAGCCTCTTGTTTTTGTTTTAAAGCAGCAGCCTCTGCCTCAGCCCGCCGGGAAGCTTCCTTTTCAGCTTCCTTCCTCAGTTTTTCAGCATCTTCCTGGGCTTTGGCCTGTTTGGCAGCTTCAGCCTCAGCTGCCTGCTTTTGACGTTCAGCTTCCTCTGCTTTCTTCTGCAACAAGGCAGCCTCTTTCTCAACCTTGTCTTTAGCCTTTTCTGCATCTTGTGCCAGTTTCTTTGCTTTTTCAAACTCTTCCTTGAGATTATCCTGCGCCATGCTGTCTTTATTTTGCTGGAGAAGAACATTTTGGGCTTTCTGTTCAGCAGCAGAGCACTTCTGTGCAGCCTCTTTGACTAAAATGATCTGTCTCTCGGCTTCTTTCTCTGCAATCTCTTTCTGCTTTTTGGCATCTTCTGCTCTCTTTATTAGACGCTCAACCTCCTCTTGAGCAGCTTTGTGCTGTCTCGCTGCCTCTTCTTCTGCAGCTTGGATTTTTTTCACCTTGGCCTCTGCCTCTTTCCTTTTTTTCTCCTCTTCCAAAGCAAGTTTTCGGAATTTCTCTGCTTCTTCCTCAGCCTTCGCTTTGCTCTTCTGTGTCTCCTCTGAGATGCCCTTCAGTTTGTTAAGCTCAAGTTCAAGGTCCTGTTTGCCAGTTGAAGCCTTTTCGAAATTGAGTTTGAGAATGTGGATCTCCTCCTCCACCACTTTCCTCTGCTTCAAGGTTTCTTCTACGATTTTCTTTTGCCTGTCGAGCTCAGTGTCTGAAGACTTCTTGAGCTGATCGATCTTTTCTGCAATTGCTTGCTTGTGCTGAGCCGCTTGATCTTCAAGAACTTTCCTCTGGTAGGCCTCGTCTTCGGCTTTTCTCTTTAAGCGGTCATTTTCAGCCTCCTTCTCTTTCAAAGCGATCTCAGCCTCAGTTTTTAGACGGGTTGCCTCGTTGATAGCAGCTAACTTTTCTTTGAGGATCTTCTCAGCCTCTGCTCTCTGACGGGCAGCTTCTTCTTCTGCAATTTGCCTCTGTTTCTTTGCTTCTTCTGCAACTGACCTCAGTTTAGTTGCCTCCTCAGCCAGTTCCCTCATCTTGGCAGCCTCAGATTCAAGTAGATGTTTGCTCTTTTCAGTGTTTGACAAAGACTCTTTCTCAGCTTTGGATTTTACCTGTAGTAGAACTTCCATCTCCTTCCTAACTTTGACCAGTTCCTCCTCAAGCTCCTTCTTCTGTTTAACAGCGGCATTGACATCATTTTTGAGACGCTGGAGCTCATCATCCAAGACAGTTCTCTGTTGTTCAGCATGCTCAAAATCTGCTCTTAACCTAATAAGCTCTTGCTCTGCTGCAAGCTTCTGTTTAGCCGTTTCTTCAGCCATCTTCATTTGGTTCTCCAGTTCCTTTTCGGCAATCTCTTTCTGTTTAAGGGCAGCCTCCTCAGCTTTTCCTCTCTTCTTTGCCTCCCGTTTGGCTTCCTCCTTCTGTTTCTCCGCTTCCTCCTGAGCTGTAGTTTTCTTATTGGCCTCTTCTTCAGCCTGGAGCCGGAGCCGGAGAGCTTCATTAGCCTTCTGTCTCCATGTTTCTAGCTCCTTCTCTGCCTGCTCTCTTGCCTTATCTGCTTCAGCTTGCTGCTTTTTGAGATGTTCTGCCTCCTCCTGCAGTTGAATGACCATCACCTGCTCATGTTTGAGTGATTCTTCCAGTTTTGCTGTCAATGATATTTGTTTACTCTCAAGCTGAGTGGCTGCAGTCTTCTTTGCCACTTCCTCTACCACTTGAATCTGTCTTTGCTTTTCCAGCTCTGCTTGCTTCATGTGCCTCTCAGCTTCCTCAGCTTGAAGCTTGAACTTCTTAAGATCCTCAAGGGCCCTCTTCTTCTCTTTGGCAGCCTCCTTTTCTGCCTCTGATTTCAGTTTAAGCTCCTCTTCTGCCTGGCGTTTCTTCTGAGTCTCTTCGGCAACTTGCTTCCGAAGCTTCTCTGCCTCATCCTGTGCTGCCTTTCGAAGTTTTTCGGCATCTGCAGCTTTTTCCCTGAGCTGTTGAAGCTCTGTTTGAGCAGTGTTTTTTTGTTTCATCGTCGTCTCTAGCTGGAGTCGGATTATATGGATTTCTTCTTCAATTCTGGTCCGGCTGTGGAGGGCTTCCTCTACCTGTTGAGTCTTAGACTTGATTTCCTGCTCAGAAAGGCTTTTGAGCTCCTGGAGCTCTCGTTGGATATTGTGCTTCTGTTTCTCAGCATCGACCGCAACGTCCTGTCGTTTGCTGACTTCATCTTTCATCTTCGTCTTCAGCTCATTCGCCTCTTGTTCTGCTTTAGCAATAGCCTTTGAGTGAGATTCAGCTAACTGCCTTTGCTTTTCTAGCTCGGCCTGCATCTCGGCCAGCTTTTTTCTATCTTCTTCCTTAAGTTTTTCGGCAGCTTTCTGTATTAGTGAAGGTAAATAGTAGGGGAAATAGAAACAAAGTTAAATATTTAAGTGTTAGATATTACATGGACAAAGTTACAGGGTGTTATGCTAAACAGAAAAACAACTTATGTAGATTTTTTATTAAGGATTATGTAAAGTCACAATGTATGGTACACAAAATGAGACACAATCACTTCACAAAACACCACTACAGCTGGAATATCGAATGGTTTCATGCTAATGAGGTGTTATCACTGGATACATTTTTTAAATGAATAAAAACTTTAAAACTCTACCCTGTCATTTTGAAGACTGAAGATTTGTGGTTTTTAATATATTTTACATTAGAGTGAAAAAGGTTATAGAATGTGTTTTGGATTCCCTTTTGAACAAAATATGGAAATTGAACCTTTTAATAAATTACACATTATTATTATAAAGGGTCAATGAAGAAAGAATATTTGAAAATGTATATTCATAGTATTATCATGCCTACAACAGAACAGCTTAGTGATGCAGCAAAGAAAGAATGAGACTTATTAAATCATGTTTAAACAATGCTAGACCATAAGGGGGGGAAAGAAGAAAAACAAGTGTAGATTTTGACAAATCCAATAATATATATTATTGCATATATTTGTTCATATTTCTTAATCATGGCAAAAATGCAAATGTAATTAACAAGGGACTGGAAAAGGATGAACATGCATTTTTGTGGACAATTTACCTCTTTAGCGCCCAAACATGACAAACATTCATCATGATAAAGCACTGGCAAGCAGTTTAGAGAAGCAGACAAGAAAATAAAGGTTAGAAAGGAAAATGGAAACCAAAATTGAGCAGAAAACAGCTACAGAAGAAGGTCTGACAGTCAGGCTGAAGCAAACTCAGAGGGAAAATCAACAAATAGGGCACAAAGGAATGATGGGTAAGAATGCGGCTAAGCAGCAGACAGAATCCAACCAGGAAATTAAACTAGCGAAACCATGTGGCATCACTGGTACATTGCACCATGCACTAACTTTTATTTTTAGGATAACAGCATATTTTAAGTTTGCTTCAGGCTGAAGGGTACCTATACTAACTGAGAGCTCACTATAATGGAAGAGATATTAAAACACCTCCATAGTAGTAAGCACATAATGAAAGACATACATTGTGAAAGAAATGGAATGTGCTGCACCACTAGCATTTATTACTGAAGGCCTAGGTGAGCAGCTCAATCTGTTACATTTTTGATTTCCAGAACTTTATCCTCTAGCACACGGCCAACAATAGCATGTTTCAACTTTGTCTTCACAATTGTGTCACTCTTTGATAACTTAAGATAAAAATGTAACTGTGTCTCATATGGTTTGTGAAATAAACACATATTTCATGTGTCCATACATCCACAAATGAAACTACAAAAAGGATCAAGTTAGTGAGTTAAAGTTAGTGCTAGAATACTAAGACTTTAGGTTTTGATACTTACCACCTCATCCTCTAGGCGGCGCTGTGTCTCAATGATGAATTTAATATACTGGGTCGAAAGAGTCATCAGCTCACTGTAGCGTGTTCTCAGAGTCACATACTGAAAGATATTTTTGAAGTTACTTGGCATGTCAAAGAAGATCAAGAAATAAAAGCCTAAGTAGAACAGTATAAGTTATGCATACAGAATGTAAATTAATGCATATAGCAGATTAAGAGCCAAAGACAGGTGGATATTAGATATCTAGGGTACCTCTTGAATGATGTCATCAGATGCAGACTCCATTTTGGTCTTCTTCAGAGGGGAAGCTATGGGCTCCACATGAGCTTTATAAGTCACCAGCTGGAGCTCATAATCCTGGATGAGAACATTCAGTCAGAGTGCTACTCATAAATCATTTAGATTTGAGTAAAATATATATGCTGCAGAATTCATACACACCTTTATGGCATCAATGTATGCTTTAGCATATTTCTGGCAGTCATCCACCTTGTCCTTGTTCTTCTCAATCTCCTCAAGCAGTTTCTGTACAAATAATGGACATGACATAAATAAAAAGATTATTAACATGATTTTCTAGCAAAATATGATATGATATTCATTTAGGGATGGGAATTGATAAGATTTTATCAATATCAATGCCACTAACGATTCTGCTTATCGATCCGATTCTTTAACGATTCTCTTATCGATTCCTGATAGCACTGTGTGGAAAAAAGTATTTATGCTTTTCCGGGGGGAAAAGCCAAGTGGTTTTATTTTGTTTTAAAGCTTTCACTTGAGTAAGCAAACTGTACTTTTTATGTAATTTATGTAATAAATGGAACCTTATTGTACACCGATTAAACGTACCGTGAGTTCAGTGTTGGAAAGATCAGTTGTTTTAACCATTCATTAAAACGAATTGGTTCAAATGAGTCATTAGTTCGCGATTTGGACGTGTCATTATCGGACGTGTGCCGGCGGTTGGGACATCCCACAAGGTGTCATCACAGAAAACATTTCATCAATGGATAGTTTTTTTTCCCGTTTATTTAAAGTGTGGTTTATGTCAGCTGAATGTGCGGAACGCTTTTCAGAGAAGATAAGGCAATGTATTTTAGCACAATTCACACCCAGCGGTAGCCTAATTCAGGAAAAACAAATCTCCGAATGCTCCACATTAAACTTTAGTCTCCCGACCTTACCATCGTGTCGTTTATTTTGATTAATATGTGCGAGGGAGAGAGAGCAAGACAGCGCTTAGTTTTGAGATGGTGAAGCCGCCTTGCTCCGAAGAGAGAGTGTGCGCGCGCGCGACCGGGGCTCTCTCTCTCTCTGCTCGTTCTGTTAAACATGCGCCCTGTCACAAGCGCAGCAGTTCATCTACATTACTCACCGATCAAATAAGACTTTGGCGGTACAAAAATTAGCTTTGGACGCCGTGCTATGGTGCTTGATAAAGGACAAAAGGGACAGTTGTGAGTTCACGGTCTGTAGCCTACATACTGGCTGACTCGGAGCAGGAGCATCGATAAGAGGACTCGTTAACGTCGAGGGCATACAATATCGATGGATCGTAAAACTTAGAACCGGTTCTCGAGTGGAACCGGTTTTCAATTCCCATCCCTAATATTCATTATATAAAGCATTGAGAACAGAAAATTAATGAAAACCCTGCATTTCAGATTGACCGATAGATGGATGGATGGATGGATAGATAGATACCTTCTCCTGGGTCAGCTGCTCTTGAAGGGCTTTGCTGTCGATGGGCAAAGCATGGAGCTTGTCCTGCCTCTGCTTGGCGTCTGCTATCCAGCGGATGAGCCAGTCCCAGCTCTGCCTGTAAGCCTGCATCTGCCTGCTCAGAAGGTCAAGTTCTCGCTGCCTCAGCTCAATCTGAGCAAACACAGCCTGCCAGCGGTCCTTCAGGTTGCCCACCAGATGCCTGTAGTGCTCCAGCTCTATGTCACGTTCACTGTGCAGCTGAGACATACGGTCGGTCACCGCGGTAGCCCTCTGAAGCTCCTCTTCCAGGTGGTCAAACGTAGCTTGCTTTCCCTCCGCTTCTGAGCGCAGTTTCTAGGGTCAAAAAAGAAGGAAAGAACATGAACATGTTTGTGAGGTCATGTATGATTTGAGCTTATACTGGTAAACAATTTCATGCATAATTGGGTTATTGTGTGAGAGATAATGCACCTGGAGCTGTGTTTGAGTGGCCTCAATCTCTTTCTCATTAACAGGAACTTTGTTCACATCCCGCAACTGGTTCTCATATTTGTTGAGAATGTCTTCTGCTCCTTGTGTGCTGCGGATTACCATGTCAATGGTCTTCAGCCTTTATGGACAAAAATAATTTGATTCAGCATAATTTTATATGGGGAAGGAAAAAAAGATGACTTTGGGGTTTTATTCTACAAAGATGCATTAAATTGAAAGTGACAGAAATAGCATTTTTTGTAACTTAAATCTTTTTCTATTTATTTTCTATTGAACTTCTACTCAAATCAAATAATCCTGTAAAAAGTATCACAGTTTCCACCGAAAAATTAAAAAGCACAACTGTTTTCAACATTGATGATCGGCATATTAGAAGGATTTTTGAAGGATCATGTGACACTGAAGACTGGAATAATTCAGCTTTGCCTTCACAGGAATAAATTACATTTTAAAATACATTACAATAGAAAACTGTAATTTTAAATGGTAAAAATATTTCACATCATTACAGCTTTTGCTATATCGTTGATCAAATAAAGGCAGACTTAGTGAGCATAAGAAACTTCTTTCAAAAACATTAAACCAGCTTACCTAAGCCACACTTTAGAACGGTAGTGTATATATGTATAACAAATGGACTTGAAACTCACTTGTCGAGATACACAGAAGAAAGACTGTAGGCGTGCTCCATCTTTTTCTGGGTGATGTCTATTTCTGAGCGCAGGACAGGGGCTGAACTGGACTGCTGAGATGTGGCCAGCACTGCTTCACTCTTCTCCACCATCTTATCCAAGTCTTTCTTTATACCCTCCAACTCAGTCTGCACTTTCTGTAGGACGACGTGAGAATACACAAGGATTTAGTCATTAAGTAATATATACTGTATTAAGATTTAAATTCATTAAAAAGAAAAAAATTGTGCAGTAGACATGCACAGGCTCTTCATGTGGTATACATGCATTTGAAGGCATTTCTTGATGGATTCAATGGTATAATGTATATTAATACAGTGTTTATGCAGACCTTCTGTTCAGTGGCTCTCTGTAAACAGGCTTTGAGAGGCTCCTTGTCTACCATCTGTCTGAGGCGGTTCACTGTGCGGTTCTCACAGCCTTCCAGTCTCAATCTCAGGTCCTTTATCTGGGTGATGTAACTCTTGCACACTGACTCATCCTGTTCCCCTAAATAATTGACATACTTTGTGTTAAAAAAGCTCAAGAAATGATCTTAAATATTGGAAAAATACAGAGAAAAAAGCTAAAGTACACACATCTAAGAATGTTTCTTCATTAATAACATTCAATTATGCAGCATCCATACAATATGTAGGCACATGAAATCGAGCTTGCATAGCTATAAAAGCATTTGCATTCAAGTACTTTCATAGAGAATGTTTCAGGCCTTAATGACCAAGTAAATCAGTTAATTTGCACACTTTTTAAGTGAGTACACTGCATTTCAAACTGTCAAATGGTGAGAAAATCTGTGAAAAACATGCTAAAAATCCCTGGAGTCAATGTGGATTAGGACAAAATGCACATGAAAGTATGAAACAAACAATGACAAGGACAAATCATTCACAGTTTGTTAAAAAATCCACTCTCGGATCTTTACCCAGTGCGCTGTCCTTTTGGATAAGAACAGGTTCTGAAAAATAAGTCTCAGTCATAATGGGAGTTGGATGGAATGCCCTATCCAGCCCCATCTTGAAATTCCTACAAGTCATAATGCCTTTGTGTTGCTTCAAGCACGCAGAAAAACCTTCAGCCGTGCTCAGGGACAAGTCTTAAAACTGGGGTGTTGCTGGGGCCAAGATGGCTTTGTATGTGTGCAATTTCATTGAACCGTGAAAGTGATGAATGGTTTCTATACATCTGAACAAACCAGCTGACCTTATTGGACACCCACCTTGTTCAACGGAGCGTAGCAGGTTATCATAGTGTTGAGTGGCTTTGCTGTAACTGTTCTCAGCTTGCAAGCGATCATCGGCACCGAAGAGCTCAGAATCCTGACTGTCACGTATGAAGGCCTGATAGTGCTGCTCCAGGTTCTTCAGGGTCAGTCGATATTCCTCGACTCTCAGAGTCTTGAACTACACAAAATTAGAAAACAATGTCACCTAATTACTATTCATTAGTAAATGTATAAGGTTTATAATGCAACTTTTCAGTTCGTATGCCTCTGCATACAATTAAATAATACATAATAATGAGTTCTTTCAATATATATCAGTTATAAGACAATATTAGAGATTATATTTATCGTAGCAATTGATATTAGACTTATATTGGCTGATACTAAATATTTAATTGTGCATGTTAAAATGTTTTTACATTTAGACTTTTGTAGCAAATAATGCTTACTTAAAGGTAAAGTTAAAAAACACTGATAATAATTTATTAACACTGTTAAATGTAAGCTTTAGCAAAACTCAAAATGAATGCACTACCTTTTATGTTTTTGAAAGAAGACTCTTATGCTCACCAAGGCTGCATTTATTACATCAAACACACAGCAAAAACATTAATATTGTGAAATATCATTACAATTCAAAATTTCAGCAGCCATTACCCTGATCTACCTAGTGTCACATTATCCTTCATAAATTATTCTAATATGCTGATTTGGTGCTTAAGAAACTTTTCTTTTTATTATCAATGCTAAAAATTGTTGTGCAGTGTAATATTGTTGTTGAAATGTGACACTTTTTTTCTCTGTCTGATGATTAGTAAGCTCAAAATTACAGCATGTATTTGAAATAGAAAGTTTTTCTAACAATGTAAAAGTCTCGTCATTTTTCACTTTTGAATGGTAGTGTATTCCTTTTTCATACTGTATTTTTTAAAAGGACTGATTTTCTTTTTCAATTATTTACACAAAATGATAACGGATTTTTGTATAGGCCATTCATTTATTTTTAATTATTTGCACCAGCCTTTTAATATAGGTGCATCCTTCCTGGGTTCTACTATTTTTTATCAAGTCTTTGAACGTATCTAAAAAGGGGTGTGAGTGCTAGTTACCATGATGAAATTCCAGGAGTTGATAAGCAGGATATCTCGCATGTAGTACTGCCAGGACAGCAGGCTCTTCATATCAACATGCAGCCTTTGCCAAAGAACCATCAGCCTCTGCAGACTCGCATCCATACTGAGGTTAAAAACAAATCAAAGGATAAGATGGAAAGCCAAACACTAAACAGAAAGATTTGGTTTATATTGCAACATCACAAGAAAACCACACATCTCTCCTCCCAGATGTCAAAGACAGAGATAGATAAAAGTATGTGGAATCTGAATGTGCTGCCAACTGAAGGAAGGGAAGTCAAGTGAGGTTAGTCTTGTGCACTAGTATTAGGCTGTACTGTGTTACCCAGAGCTGACATCCATAGCTTCGTTGTTGGTGGGAGGGACAATGAAACAGATGGATGGTACTGTGGCTTCATTTCCACTGGAGTTTCGCACTGTCCAATTGTACGGTTGGGAGTTGTTCACCAGGGCACACTCGTCTCCTTTGTGTACCGTGATCTGGGCCAAAAAAATGAAGGATGTTAATTAAGTTTGAAGTGTTTACGGTAATAATGGATTGTAGGGGTGGAACGGTACACAGAAGTCACAGTTCGGTTCATACCTCGGTTCAGACATCACGGTTCGGTACGATTTCGGTACAATGGAGGGAAAAGCAAAACAAAAATGCAGAAGGCATTGTATTTTTAAAATAAGTTTTATTAATAGAGGCATAGAACCAGTTTATGCACTGACAATAGTTTTATATAATTAGTTTATTAATTAAATTAATAAAAAGACAAAAAGACCTTGCGATATGTTTGGTAATTGTACTATTAATTAAAAATTATTTTGCTATATTTCAGATCAATATATTTGTTTTCCTTAATTTTAATTAACATTATGAATTGACAATGTAACATTATTCTCATCTGAATTATAAATAATTGATTTCTGCATGTATAAAATAATACTACCATTAAAAACATTCAATTTTCTTTTTTTAATGAATGTAGAATGTGTAAGATTAGTGCTCCGAGGACAAGAAATGAAAACCAATGACGAATGTCCAAAAGATGGGACCCACAGACTGTTTTGAAATGGAGTTGGATAAATATGTTTTGCTTTTAAAACAGTGTGTGTGTGTGTGTGTGTGTGTGTGTGATTTTGGTTGGGTGACAGTTGTAGATTACAGTTTGACAACAGTTTACAGTGTGACAAAAGCACAATGTTGTGTTTTATTGCGAGTGTACACAAATATAAGTGAACACTTTGCAGGTTTAATGATCTGTATGAACAAAATGACGGAGTATGTTTTTTGTTTCCACTGTTCGATCGCGCGCCTCTCTCTCTCTCTCTCTCTCTCTCTCTCTCTCTCTCACACTCACCCAGTTCGATCGCGCCCGCGCACCTCTCTCTCTCTCACACACACACACACACACAAACACACACACTCCACCATTGCAATATTGACATTGTAGCCTGTTCATTATGCGGTCACGGTCACACCAAACGCGAATAGAGCGTCAAATTCGCGTCTAGTTCGAGGCTAGTCCAAGCGAATAGGACGCGCGTATAAAGCCAACGTTTGAAGTGAACGCGCGTTCAGAGCTAAGCCGATGCTACAGATGATTATGTGTCCCTAAAGAACCCGCGTATCTAACAGTAGTTCCGCATTACATTAATTTGCACGCGAGTTTTTTTTATTTTATACCGTGTATTCTCCGTGTAAATTCGTGCACCGAACCGTGACGCCCGTACCGATTCGGTTCGATACGAATACATGTACCGTTCCACCCCTAATGGATTGCATTGTGTATTTGATAATATAATTGAGGTGACTAAGAGCAAGAACTAATTAATGGGTGAGGCTAATGGCTGAGCCAGTGTAATAGCAAGATATTCATGCTTCACACAAATTACACCCATGTTGAGCAAGAGCATGATCACACATGTGACTTCTTCAACCATTTTTTGAAAAAGAGGGACTGGAATATAGGAAAGCAAATAAACACACAAGCTGTTTGTGTGTTCTTAATTAAGCCCCTAGGAATAAGTTAATTTTATTACCCATGTACACACATACACACACGCAAAAAAACAAGTGACTCAGTGTCTCTGCTTTACCTCCATTTGTTTGAAGTCACAAACAGCCTGAATGGGTAATTTGCCCTTGACGGGGTGAGCGGTGTTCCTCGGCTTGAGCTGGATAATGGTCTTAGCTCTCCGGTTGAGACCCTCCAGGTGTGTCTTGAATTCATTTAGCTGTTCTTTTTCCTCCTGATGGCCAGAGAGACAAATTTGCATATGTATGTATGTATATATCTATCTATGTAAATACAGGCGTGATCAAAAGTTTACATACACCTTGCAGAATCTGCAAAATATTTATTATTCTAACAAAATAAAAGGGATCATACAAAACGCATTTAAATTTTTGATTTAGTACTGTCTTGAATAAGATATAATACATCTTACATCTTTATATCTTACATAAAAGATGTTTATGTAGTCCACAAGACAAAATAAAAGTTTTCACCCCCGGCTCTTAATGCATCGTGTTTTCTTCTGGAGAATCAGTGTATGTTTCACTTTCATAATAGTTCCGTTTTAGTCTCTCAATTGTCCTCAGTGTGAACAGATGGATCTCATACAAATTTTAATCTAATTAATTACATGATGTGGCGATTAATTAATCGAATTAATCGCACATCAAATTAAATGTTACCCACAAAAGATCATTTAAAGTCATTATGGTGTTAAATGAGAGAAGCATCAAATAGACATTACAAAAAGAAGATTTTTTTTATTTGATTCAACATAGAATTTATTACACACATACTTTTAGGCTTTAACGGCCATTAGGTTGAGTAAACAATGACAAAATTTACATTTTTGGGTGAACTGTAATGGGTTTTTTATTAATATGGAAATATGAAATAATTTTTTTAATGAGATGATACTCTAAATAAGAGGCGGTAAACGTCTAAATGACCAAGTCATTGAGACATTCATTCATTCGATTCGTTCAAACGGCGGATTCAAGTACCGGTAAATGGCTCTCTTTGGCTATGTCGAAATCGCCCCCTGTACCCTCATTCACTATTCCCTACATTACTACACTAATATAGTCTACTTGAGGGAGTGAATGAAAATAAGTTAGTGAATTCGGACACTGAGTGCACTGCAGCTTTTGCATAGTTTGTGCTTGCTGTTTAATAATCATTTGAAACTTAGCAAACTGGCAGCTCCAGTAGTAACTCTGACATGGGAGCGAGCATGTATAAACCTGAAATAAAAAATGTAATAATCAAGTAAAAAGGAATTTACACTTATATAATATAATGCTGTATCCACATTGGACCATCGGTTTGGAAAATAGATGGATGGCTGTTTTAGCTGCGGGCACCATCTTCTGGCGAAACGGGGGAATTCATTCGGCGTGAACGGTTGTACACTTGCTATTGCTGTGCATTGTGGGATTGAATGAGTGCACTCAATAACGTCCACTATGGTTTCGGACAGCACTACAAATGTCTGTCGCCTCAAATAGTGCCCTATTTAAGGGTATTTCAAACAGGTTTTTTTATGAATGTGCCATTGAATCATTGGTTCACCTGAATGATTCGCTTAAAACGGAGATTCATTCAGAAATGATGCACCACTGTGTGTTGCTCAGATATGCACAACAGTTCTGCTCTGGATTTATAGGTAATATTTTCATTGTAAAAATTGAGGAAAAGCAGACAATACTGTGTCTAAAATATAACACAATATTAACTTCTTATTTATTGAACTGTTGTATAAAATCAATATCACATTTGCACTCGTGCTATTCAGGACAAAAACAGCACTTGTGTGATATCGCTTAATTTTATCATGACATAAATACGAGACAAAAATTCATATAGGGGCCTTTTTGCCTTGATATCTTTAATTTTAGGGTCATTATAACCGCATTCTATAGGCTACATCATGCAGTGAGTTGTTTCATGTTTGTAACCAATCAACTTTATGAAATGTAAGATGAACTACGTAGATCTGGGGCGAGGCGGGTGCGTCAAATGCGTTAATAATTTTACGACTCAAACGAAGCACTGAATTGAGTTAATCAACTAATTGAAATAGAGAGTATAAACTGATTCAAGTAAATGTCACTTGGATGTGAACTACAAACCCAGTGATTACAAGCATAAGCATTGACGTACTGCTATCATGTGACCTACAGCATCGATTCACAACTCCTCTCCCGGAGCCCTTATGGGATAGTAAAGTGTTTATCAAATGTGCACTTCAGAATCTCAACGGAAGTAGTAGGTCATCTGTGTAATTTTCACCTACTATGTATTCTGACATACTGTTTTACACATACTATACAGTAGGGAAGAATTTGATTTCAGACAGAAGGTCTCAATGAAAATTAATGGTCAAATAAAAAGTTCATGTACATTTTGGTATATACAGGGTTGTAAAATTCCACTCATATTAACACCCACCACTGCATCTTGTAGCAGATCCTCTAGCCGTGTAACCGTGATTGAGCGGTCACACACATATTTCTTCTTCATCGTGTCCTCCATCTTCTTCATCCTTTCTTCAGCCTCTTTAACATCTGAGAAGAACTGTAGAACAGACGTTTTGGAGATCAAAATAATTCTGATGAAGTAAATCTATTTGGCTGTCTACTTGGATGTGAACTGCAAACCCACTGTTTACAAGCATACGTGTTTGTTGTATGTACCTGGAAGTAGGCGGTGTTTTCTTTCAGATGAGTCTCAATGCAACAGCACAGCTGAAGGATCCAGCTCCACTGAGTCTGAAGAGCTGCAGTGAAAGCCTACAGAGAAATAGAATACAAACAGTTGGAGTTTCAAACAATTCTCTCCTAATATATCAATTTGATGATTTACTTTAGTTCAATAACTGTGTAAAATTCATCCATTATGAAGCAAGTTCATTTTAGCTATTTGCAGCTCGACAGAAGACAATAGTGTCGTTATTCAGCTGTAGTTTTGTTTTCATCTGATAGTGTCAGTGCAGTTAAATCAGTAATATTGCTGGATATTAAGTGTCCCCGAATAAGCAAGCCCAAGGTAAACACATGCACAAATTATTAAATGTAAAATTGTGCACCTCCACAGTCTTCCTGGCAGGATGGCCATCTTTCAAGAGTTTGTCTCCGGTCATCTGGACATTGTTCACTCTCTTCTCTCTATGTTCAAGATCTCGCATCAAACCCTACAAGACAGCACAGCAGCATTCACTGTCATTGCCAAATGCAATTAAATGATTTCAGAGGATTCTCTACAATTAAAACATGAACATGATTCCACCTATAAATTTAGTGCTGGTGGAATCATGTTCAAAAGTGTTGGTGGCCTTACAGAATAGTTGTCCTTTTTGGCGGTCATGTTGGAGTTTCGATCACTCCAATCATAGTTCACTTCCTCCTCTTCTTTTTCGTTCAGCCACATCAGCTCTTTTGTGGCGGCCACAACAAAAGCGTGCAGCTGATCTAGATTCCGCAGGCGTGACTTGGACGAGTTCTGAGGAGGAACAACAACCAACTCATAAATTTCTATTTCATCAGGCTTTGTGGTATTGGGTTTGCAACAAATATATTTTAGAATCCATAATTAAGATTCAACAAAGTGATCAGTGTGTATTAGTTCTAGATTTAAGAGCGTACCAGCAGTTTGGCATATTGAAGGTCCAGTTTGCCCAAGTATTCTCGATAAGCTCCCTTACTGAATGGAGTCAACTGATTCTGAGAGGAGAGAAAATAATGTTGGGTTTTCATATAACATTCATTGTAGTCTTAGCCATTCTTAACTCATATTCAGAGTTTAATAAACAATTTGAATTATTAATACTGTTTAATAAAGCATGTATGATTTATTGACAACAGTATTGTTTGTACTCTAGTATCCAGTATGTATCACTCGATGCTATTGTTCCTCATTTCACAAGAAAATAAATTAGCCAATCAGAACAGAGGTAATTTACATTTAAAAATTTTAAAGATACTGTAGCAAAAACATCACAACCACAAAATTACGGTGCAAGAAATCTAGTTGACCTCAGGGAACACAATAAATGCTACAAAAGTGTACAATGGACAATTTTAAGTACTACATAACTATTTATTACCTCATCAGCCCGTGCACGGTCAATCTTGTATTTGAATTCCTCGATTGACTGATGAAGGCCACGATGGCTACCGAGTTGAGACTCCACAGTGGGCAGATCTTCGCCCCACTCCGCACCATCAATGCGCCTCTGGTTCTCCTCCACCCAGGACAAGAGGTCCTGAATGTACTTGAGAGTGACTTCGTCGAGCTCAGGTTTTACGCGCTGCGGAGACTGCTGTAAAGTTTGGACGTGGGAGGTCTGGGACATGGACATCTGGGTCATGGGCACCTGCGACACCGTCACGCCAGACTTCAGACGCAGATTAAACTCACTGCGCAGGTTTACCAGACGCTCATGGAGACGGTACACCCTGAAAGAGCCAAGAGAGGACAGTTACAAAGCTGCTATGAGAATAAATAAGATTTTAATTATTATAAATATTATTAGATATATAGATATTATTATAGATAATATTATTAATAATTGTTAATTAACCATTACAAATAGTTTTTAACACATATTTTCTGTAAAACATTATAACAGAAAATAGTCTCTTATAAATTAAAGCAAGAATTATGTAAAGGAGTTAACTTTCTTAAAAAAATGTAACATTTCAAAGTATGTTTATCCTATGTAAATAAATAACGTACAATATTCACATTTTTGGTTGATGAGCATTGCATTCAAACCTAAAGACTAGTACTAAGCAAAAACAATATAGTTCTTTCTAGCTGTCACTGTATTTCTTTAGGTTATGACAGTAGAATATCATACTAACCGCCTGTACATCTGTTCTGCCTGAAGGTGGCGCCCATCTTTAAGTAATTGCACATCATTAAAAAGGTATCGGATCATGTTTTCAGCCTTGTTCAGATCTGCCTCTATCTCAGACGAGTGCTGGATAGGTTTTCCCGCACCCAGCAGACGTATGTCCTGCAATAAAAGCAAAGTTAAATTAAAGCAATTTGCTTACAAATAATGCAGGTTTACCTGCTCAAAAGCTATTGGGTCTTTGGATTCAAATAAAGGAATAAAATGGCTTTCAATCTCACCGTTTGTAACACCGTTTCCACCTGGTTGAGCTGTTCCTCGCACACACCTGACTCCATTTGCACCTTACCGACTATTCTCTGCAGACGCTCCAGCCTGTACATGTAACAGACACACAAATACTCTTTATATACTCACTACAAGCAAAATATTAAGAATAAAATGACTGGGCAAAGGCTACACAAAACAATATTCAGACTTTACAGGCATTCAATGTTCAATCAATCGGAAAAAAACATCAGCTGAATCACTCACACCCTCCTCTCACGGAGCAGGTACTCCAGTCCATGGCTGTCATTCATAAAGGCCATGGCTAATAATCCTAATAATGCTAAATCACAGTCCAGAGAGGATTTTTCAGAGTGAAGTCGCACAGAATCAGCTATTGATGTTAAGAAGTGCTGCTGTAACTGATAAGGCTCATAAACATTCTGCAGAGCAGCAGCGAGTCTGTCTTGTGACAAATCTTTTTAAAAGTGACGCCCTGTTTCTTGAGCTAAATGCTATTTAATAACAATAAAAATGCTTTTATTTTGATGAAAAAAATCATCTTAAAGGGAGAGTCCCACAATTTTTTTAATTTACTCACCCTCAAGTTGTTTCAAACCTGTATGAATTTTGTCTGATGATGAACACAAAATAAGATATTTTGAAGAATGTCAGTTGACATTTTTTTTTTCATACTTTGCAAGTCAATGGGACCCATCAACTGTTTGGTTACCCATATTCTTCAAAATATCTTCTTTTGTGTTCAATAGCAGAAAGAAATTCATACAGGTTTGGAACAACTTGAGGGTGAATAAATGATGACAGAATTTTCATTTTTGGGTGAACTATCCCTTTAACTGCAATGAAAGGTCCATGCTTTTAGAACAAAAAATTAAAATTAAAAATAATTCAATTAAAAAAAACGAATGATTTTAAAAGTAAAGTTGAGTCCTTCCACATTTTTTTTATTATTGTTCAAGATTTGACAATTATCAATTGGTATAGTGGAAGTTTCTTGTTAGGGCAAGTCAATTGATTTTTTTTCTTGCAAGGTACAGTAGCTTGAATGAGATAACTAAAACTGCTTAGATTCTCTTAAAAACATCTGTAAAATCTAAACACAATATCATCATACATTTTTACTTCTTTAGTTTACTTTTTGAACCACAGTATTATAGCAAAATACCCCTGTAAATTGTCTGGATTATTCGAATGAATAACTGCACATATTGTCCAAACAAAGAATAGCCATGAGAAGTTATTATACAGATTTCTCACCGTTCAAACTCTGAACGCAATAGTTTCTCTCGTTCCAAAATGGCCACATGCAGACGGCCCCATTCCTTCTCCACATCAATTGGGTGGTAACTGGGGGGAACCTTGACCTGACCCGCCTGCACAGCACCCTGGTGCCAAACAAACCCCATACATAAAGTCAAATCTTGGTAAAAACATGTTAAGAAAACTCATGTAAAAGCCCTAAAGTACTGCACTACATGCTTGTTTAAAAGGCAATTACTACTGTGACAAATTAAATTTACCTCAAAAGACTTGTAAATGTGCTTGGTGCGATTTTTGTCAGTCTCTTTGGCTGGTAGTTCAGACTCCTTGAACTTCAGAAACTGACGCCAAAGAACCTACAACAGAAGGGAAAATGCTCATTCCATAATTTACAATCTTTTTAAAAATTGTTTCGGATGCTTTTCTGTAGTACAAACATATGCATTTATGGTCACAAAATAACACTCGATTAAGGTTATGTGACATAATAGCTATTTTATACATTTTACAACACTTCTAGCTGGTAAAGAATAGTGAATTACTGCACCAAATCATAATTACACATGTATATATGCACATATATGATCATTAAACCTAAGGAGCATGGCACTAACCTCAATCTCCTCATAGCTGGAAGGGAACTTGCGTTCCTCAAACACGATAATGTGATGCCTGATCCACTGGAGTAACATGGTCACCAGCTCGTAATACTCCTGCCAGCGCAACTCCAACTCCTGTATAGATCAAAGATAACAATATCAATGGCCCATCATATTATATTTAATTATAATTATATATACAAAATTATATTTTCAAAACCCACATTGGCCTGGACTCCATCACGAGCGTCAGGAACCCTTGGCATGACATCATACAAAGAAGACACATACGTGATGATGGACTTTTCGTCTGGGTGTGGGACGTCCACATCTGCAAAAACGGAAAATAAACTACCGTCATTATGTACACTATCGTTCGAAAGTTTGGGGTCTGTAACATTTTTAAATGTTTTTGAAAGAAGTTTCTTATGCACACCATGGCTGCATTTATTTGATCATACAGTATTATTGTGAAATATTTTCACAATTTTAAATAACTGTTTTTCATTTTATTATAATTTAAAATGAAATTTATTCCTGAATTTTCAGCAGCCATAAAGTGTCACATGATTCTTCAGAAATCATTCTAATATGCTGATTTGCTGCTCAAGAAACATTTCTTACTATTATCAATGTTGTAGACTGTTGCGCTGCTCAATAGTTTTGTGGAAACAATTAAAAATTGGATTGGACAGTAGTTAGACAGGAAGCGAGGTGGGATAGAGAGAGGAGGGACGGGATCGGGAAAGGTCCATGAGCCAGGACTCGAACTCGGGTCGCCCGAAGCGCAACGGCGCTACATGTTGGCGCACTTGCCCACAAGGCTATCGGCGCCAACTTTACTGTCACTTTTGATCATTTTAAAGCTTGCTTTATAAAAACCAATCCTTTTGAACAGTAGTGAACTCAACATCAGCAAAAATGTTAAGAAAAATCACTTAACTATTACAACTGTTACACAGGCTAAAAGAAAATATTTTACAAGTCCATTAAATCCACTAAGGGTGTATTCACACCAGCAAAGTCCGATAGTTCACTTGCTTTGGTCCGGACCAAAATTTTTTTTTTTGTTTTTTTTTTGGTACGGTTCGCTTTCACACTGCTCTTTTTGCAAGTGAACCAAAATTTGTAAACAAAACCACACGTGTGCTAAGGTCGTTCATTCATTGGACAAGGATTCTCAAGTAGGGAAATCAGGAAGTGCAAAAAAGGCTCAGCATGGAGATATTTCGTACTGCAATATTTGTTATTTTACTAATTTTGTGTTATTCTGTACAAACGCAATATGAAGACACTGCGCAGAAGACGGATAAGGTATAAAGTTTTCATTCATAGAGAGGGGCTATGTTCACAGATTCAAATAATGAGATTCTTATTGTATATAATAATAATAATAATAATTCATTACATTTATATAGCGCTTTTCTAGGCCACGGGCGTCAGTTTGGTTTTAAATGTGGTGGGGAAAGAGACGCATTCGGAAGTGCATTTTCAAAAGTGCTGGGTACAAACTCTGCAGCCTGTTTAACCCGTAAATAAATGCATCAATCCGCAAATTTATGTTTGAGTTCTTAAATGGTCTAATGGTAGATCTTTTGCAAAGAGTGTCAGAGGTTACGGGTTCTAAACCGCCCTCGGTATAGTTTTTTTCCTCTCAAAACTGAATATGTTCATCAGTGGTTACAGTCTATATCAAGCAGCCAGGAACACGTTTGTGTGCATTTTATTTTGTAATTTCACCGGAATGAATATATAGAGAGTCTCTCCGCAACGGCGATACATTGAAGTGCGCGTCCGATTGAAGGCTGTGCGCGAGCCACAGAGAACACTGTATCCACGACACTGATAGCAGCGGACAAGAGCGCTCAGCTTGAGTTAAAAAACAAAACATTTTAGCGCTAGATCTCTTATTTAAGAGCGAACTAAATGAATGCTCTGCTAGTTAACTGGAGATGTTTTATTTTTATTAGGTACATCCGTGCCTCAATGTTTCCAAGAGTGGTGGGTACAAAATGACTCATGACGAAATCTGGTGGGGACGCGTACCCACCATCCCCACCGAAATCGACGCCTATGTTCTAGGCACTCAAAGCGCTTCACATAGAAGGGGGAATCTCCTCAACCACCAATTCCAATTATATACTGCTAACAAGTGCTGTCAATGTTAACGCTTGCGATTAAGTTTGTCCAGTTTAACGCAGCATCATCCTTGTAGCCTATTGTAACTATCGTTACATTATATGAACTGAAAAAGCTTTTTTTGCATCTATGCGCGATTAGACTAAAGAGAACGCTCTGTATGTGAATGTACTGATGCACACACTCATTCATTCATTCCATTCCAATGACGCACACACGGCGCGCAGAAAGACGCGCAACAGTTTCGTGTGGCCAGACAGCGCCCCGGAATGGAATTCTCTTTCGCACTTGAACAACAATAACACAAACCATTATGCCAAAATCTCCGACTACGGAAGCCTGTTAACTTAAAGGCGCAGTGCTTTCTTGCAGTTGGGTCGGTTCATGTTCATACCGTAAACGAACCGTACCAGAGTTCGTTTGGAACCGTACCGAGACCACCTCTTCAGCTGGGTCTCGGTTCGGTTGTTTGGTCCGCACCCGAGTTCGATTGCTGTATTCACACCTGCCCAAAAGGTCCGCACCAAGGGGGGAAACGAACTAGAGTTCGATTCAATCGAACCAAACAAGGCAGGTGTGAATACACCCTAAGATTCTCTAAGATCTACTATAGTTATCAATGAAAGAGAAGAATGAAAGAAAATTCTTTGAATGAGAATCCAGAGGGATCTTCCCCCTTTGTTTACCTTCAGGATCCAGCAGGCGTGTGACGCCCATGTCTCTCTCTGCTATGCTGAAGGCCTGCTCCAAATTCTCCAGGTTGGTCTGTTTGAACACCTTATTCATGTCGATCAAATTCGGCCTAGAATGAAAGAGAGAATTCACAAAATACAGTTAAAGGGGGACACTGAAAAAAAGATGACTATAGAAAGAAAAAAAAAAAACATGATTGGAAATCTAAATCTAATTTTAACACAGATTCTCCTTATTTTGTCTATTATTTTGCATTTTAATGTCTGCTTTGTTTAAAGAAATACTTTCCATTTTAGCAAAAAAAAATCCAACCCGTAGGAATTGTGAGGCTTTAAAATGGAAATTTCATCCGGATCTCATTTGGACGCATACTTGCAGATCATTATTTAACTGCACACTGCTTGGCCAAACCTGGAGGCTATGTAAACATTTGTGCCAGTGCCTGGGCAGGTGAAGGCAAGATGGATTTCTCTTCACGGGATTTGAAAAAAAAGCCTCTGTCTTATGTGACTAAGTACTCACTCAACAGCAATCACTGCAAGGCGCCAAAAAAACAATTACTGTAAAAATACATACACACACATGCTCTGCAGCCTCTTAGGAACATGAAAACCTGAAAGTCTAGCAAAACAAAATCATTTTATAGTGTGCACTCGCTAACTTTCTGAAATTATGCGCACACAATTACTAGGAATTAAGCGCAGGAACTGAGAGTATCAGTTCAATTGCTAAAGCTACAAAGTCAATGGCAGCCGCAGAATTGCTTTGCTCTCTCGTTTCAATGCAACGAATAAAACCAAAGCATTCATACGACTGTTTGACTGTCTGGGAGAGCAGGTAGCATGGCTGGCCCCAGGGAAGCTCGGCATCTGAGACAAACACCTTCCTGTAAGAAAACCCGTCTCTACTTTGCTCCATGACATGTTCAAGATCTCCGCTTTGGGATCCACCACTTGAGCAGGCACCAGGGCTGATGGACCCCTGGCCCGAATCGAAAGAAGCCTCTGACGGCACATCTTCACACAGCATGACCACTCGGTCCTCCAGGTCACTGACGGATCCGTGGCTGGACGAGCTGCTGCGACTCTTCTTGGAGCGGAACTTCTTCTTGAGATTGAACATTGTGTTGGATTCAATTTCCCTTTTTTTTTTTTTAAACGTGTGGATTCACACAGGGAGCAGACGAGTATTCTTTCCCAATGCGATTCACTATCCAGTCAACGGTTAGCAAAGTCGTTCCTCAGTGAAAACACCCTCCATCTTATGTCACGCATCAAGCTTTGAGAGCTTCAACTGCACTCCACATGTTCCGTTTACTGTCCCAGTGCCGTTCAAATAGTAATCTGTATATCAGAACGTTTAAGTTGCAGGCGAGAGGGAAGACAAACCGCTCCTTATTTGCTCAAATCTCAAGAGCCATCTGTGTCTGGTAGTGTAGGGTGAACCTGAGCTATGCAGCTGAATGTGAAAAACACACCCTCTGGGGATCCTATTAGATTCAACACGCCCTAATCACAGGATTCTATTTTTGAATTCTATTTATCAGCGCCAATTGGAACATACCTGAACTTAATCCTGCAAAATGTTACGTAAACTCAACCGAATTTGATGTGGTTAAGAGGTATTTGTATGAAGGCTGCAATAGGTCAGCAATTCTAAAGATATTGCATGACATTTTTTGAATCCCATGTGTGATGGCTAAGTGTGCAAACAGGTGAATTCCTTTAAGTATGGCATGACTAATCTTGTTTCTTGTCAAACATCACTTGGTAAAAGCCAGGAATTAAAGCATAAATTATAGACCCGGCAAGGAGCAGAAGGGGTCTGTGATTGACATGGCAAATACAGCAAGCAAGTCTGGAGATGAAAATGCATAAACAGCCCTGAGATACAAGCGTATTTGTCATTTCTCAAGAACTAAGATCACTTTATAAACTATTTTTGGAGTTTTGCCTCAGAAATCTGCCTTTTTCATATGAGCATCGTGGTTTAATGTGTCCTGAGAATGTGTTCTAAATGCTAAGCCTCAGTTCCAAGAACTTTTTCTCTGTTTACAAGAAGGTTCTACCTGTGTTTATGGATGATGGCGTTGAAGAGCCTGCCATCTTTCCAGCTGGTGGTGAAGTTATCACACCGTAGGCCATGGTAGCCCTCCACCATCCGCTGAGACCACAAGAGAAGCTTCTCCTTGGCGGTCATATCATCTGACTGACCATTCACCTGGATATCGGAGATCTGATGGAGCAAAGGAAAACAATATAGTTTCAATAAAACAAATGATGTATTATCATATAAAAATATTAGACAAAAGGCCCGTTCACACCAAGAACGTTTAGCATCCACACCAGCGGATGATATCGTTCTGTTTATTCTAAGTGCATGCTGCAGTTTTTTTTATCTGCTGATTTAAATGCTATACTATGCTAATGCTATGCCCAACTATATCGTTTCTCTATGCCGTTATCATTATAGTTGTGGTGTGGACTCTGCTATTATTTTATATTTAGAACAATTAGAACTATATCTTTATTGTTATTGTTATAATTATAGTCCTTGGTGTGAAAGGCCCTAAAAAATATTTAGAAACTACTGTCATATTAGTGCTGGACAACGATTAATCGCATCCAAAATAAAAGTTCAGTTTACATAATATATGTGTGCGGTGTATAATTATTTTGTATATATAAATACACACACATGCATGTATATATTTATACAGTACACACATATATTATTTAAACACAAACCTTTATTTTGGATGCGTTTAATTGCAATTAATTGTTGCCCAGCACTAATTATTATAGAAAACAGAGTAACAGACTAAACATATTTGGAAACTATAACTACAACTTTCATATTTCGTTAAAATAAAATCAGAATCAATGTAAACATGGTTTGAATAAAACAGATTATGTATCATATAAAATTATTATATAATATTTCTGACTAAATGCAGTTACTGCAATTAACGTTACTATATTAAAACAAAGTTTACACTGTTTTCAGTAAATGTCTGTTTCATAGTTAAAAATGTGCAGTTTGTTGCTTTTCCAATAATAAAAAAACTACCCTATAATGCTCTGGGAAAATATGCCATTTCATAATTTAAGGTTGAGAAAAAAACGTATACTTTAAATAGCCTCACTGTTGCCAAGATACTATGGACAAACAATGTGGTTAGCAGTGATCATAAGATTCGTTTATAATAAGAGGCTTGTTCAACTTTTAGTCTGTGATTTTGCATGTGTTCGTTCCTCTGGTGACTCATCATCAGGATTCCCCTTTGGGTAATTACTGTTCAACGGCTAAAATCAAGTTTCCTCCAATTATAAGAGTTTTGTAGGGAAGTCTGGTTGGCCTAAACCTCTGGATCCTTATACTGAGGATGTACACAATGACTCAGACACGGAAACACGTCCTCCTCCCTCGCAGCCTAGCTTTACGAGAGCCAAGAGGGTCATTTAAGGTTTCTTTCAATGCAGGATTCCTTTTAATGCCTCTCACATTTTTAACAAACTTTAGTGGTGAGAATAAGCTCAACAATTAAAAGGTGTTAGCAAAGATTTGGTGCCTGACTGAATAGTAGAGAATGCATAATTTAAGCTAATTCTGCATTGCTTTGACCAATTCTGGAGTGTGTTTATTGTATTATATATAACCTTTACTCTAGGTATGTCTGACCAGATAAACAACTCAACTTATAACTTGCAGAAAATAACAAAAAATGTGACCCATTCAAAAAGTTCTATACAATAAGCTTTTGTGAAATGACAAATGCATTTAAAAAATGGAAGGAAAAGAACACAATTAAGATGCATTCCCACAACCAAAAACATAACGGTTGGTCTCATGAGTCACCAAACCACCATGCCAGCGTGCCTGCTTCCCCTTCCTTAAGGGAACGTGTGAGTCACCAACCGAAATGGACACCGTCCCCTCCCATAATCCCCCACAGGCTTACTGTGACATCAAAGACGGACGCTTGAGTTTTTATTTCCCAGAAAACAAGCATAACAAATGCGCTCCAGTCTCCTCATAATGAGAGAAAACTTTGAACAGCAATCCAAAGACAACAGTGCATTGGCCTAGAAAACCAACCATATGTACATGGTACAAAACTCCTGTTGGTTCTCTTTATTGTTTTGTCTGGCTTTTTTCTTATATTAAAAAAAGAAAAAATCAAGTTCATGCACAACTTAACATGAGATCACGTCTGAAAATACAACCAACACTTTGCTTTTATATTTGGTACATTAATGAAAAGTGATCTCTATATCACTGTTGCCAGATGATTCATTAAACCCTGTCACGAGTCTGCACAGATGTCTGTTGTTACAGCAATAGTAACAGTAAGTTGAGAGTCTAAAACATTTAGAAACAGTTAAAGGGGAAATGAAAACCTGTGAAGCAAACCTAAAGACAGCATATAAAAACGAATAAGAGTGTGTCTGCTATGTGTAAGTAGAGCACAACCAGTGCTACACCAGACCTGGAAGTGAAGAATGATGGTCCATATTAGCCCGAGGGTCAGTTTTGGATTTCCATCTGCAATGTCGTCGTTTCTTATGTTTACCAGTTTCACCTGTCAAACAATGAGATCGGTGTTAAAAAGTGAAATTGTATAAGGCCAGGCCATAGGAGTCCACAGCCCTCTGTGGGTCTGTAAAGGTACTGCAGGAGGAAATTAAAAAATAAACTCATCATCTGTAATGAGAATGTTAGTGAATGTTTTTAATAAAAAGTTATCATAACTTCTGGCCAATAAAATCTAGCTTTATATGTATTATATCCCTGATCCCAGATGGTAAAACCAAAGATAAATATATAAAATAATGGCTTATAAAGTGTTAGGTTCACTGTACCTGTCTATGTTTGAGGAAGTCCAGTGCGATCTGTACATTCTGTAGTTTGTGAAAGCGCATGCGACCCTTCTCTCTGGGCTGGAAAACAAATAAAACGAGAGATTAAGAAAGGAAGATGAGTTCTCAAAGATTTAGATGCGGTTATGAGAAGACCTAGATTATAGATGTACTGAAATGAATGATTAAAAAAAAAAATACATTAAATAAACATAAGAATAACTAGTGTAGGGATGCACCAGCAAAGATATAGGAATATTATAATAATGTCTTGCCAGTTTCAAACACAAAAATATGCTAAATGAGACCAGAAGGTCCTCCAAACATTTTATTGAACAGTAACACTGGATAACTGCTTTGCACTTCTGAATTGCATAGAAAAAGACTATTTAAAAAGGAAAATAGTCCAATATTTCTTATATATACTGGAAACTATATAACCTATACAGTTTACAAAATTATTTTTTAATTATGTTCGATTCATATTTGTGCATCCCTAAGATAAAGTAAACCATAACTAGACAAATTCACAATTTCTTTCTAATATCTTACACATTTCATGAAATAAACAATGCGTTATATTTTAAAAAAACGCAGAAACGACACTCTAATATTTTAAAGACAACTGCATTATACTAGATCATAACCTTATTATTCTGTAAGCCAAGGACCAGAGATATTCCAGCTTTATTATCTATGATGAATCTATAAACCGGAATGCAAATACACCCACTATGCCAAAATGTGGACAAAATGCACCAGCATACAATAAGAACATGCAATGACACTTGTCAATCAGTCATCACAAGAAATAGCCAATCAAAAGCTAAGCTGTCCCATGAGCCAGGCTCTTATTGGCTTGCAGTGCATGATGTCACTAAGGTTTTCTGCAAACATGAAAAGACATGAATCGATGCATAACTAAAACGAATTTAGATTCCTGAAACCCTGTAGTTAATGGTTCCCTGAAAGTGAATGCGATGCATTCCAGAACATTCCATCACAAAAACAAGAACCGAAAAACACTGAATAACCACCCTGACTTTTTAAGTCCTATAGAGTGCAACAGTTGGGTTCCGGAAGTAAAAAAAAAATATTTTAAACGATAACGTATAAACCTTTAAAGACAGACCTACTGTGAGCTACGAGGTTTTTAATCCATGACATTTGCTTCTGCTGAAACCGCCAGCCCGCATTATTTCAGATTATTTTTTTAAATTATTGTGTTTAACAGTTGTATTCCTGGTGAAAAACTATATTTCCCAAGAAAATTACACCAATCAGCCGATACACCAATTTTCTTTGTAGCTGATTGGCTTGGTTCATGGCTTATAACTCTTTAACAAAGACTATTTAAAAATCCCTATGGGAAAAATGAATGAAAAAAATAAAATACTTCCGGAACCAGCACCGCTGAAAAAGGGGGCGGGCACTGTTGCACTCTATACAAATAGTAGCGTGATTTATTTGACTTTTTAACTGAATACTTTCTCGAACATGGGGGGAGGACAGCACTGTCAACAGGTGACATGATAAAGGAAGTGACATCATGCACAACACATTTCCCCTGGCAGTGACACATGCCACACCCCTTTCCGGGGAGGCGAGCCGGAAATTTTCAGACCCAACTCACCAACCGCGAATTCCTGACAACGTCTCGCTCCCTCGGCTACCACAGCAAGAGCATCGCAAGAGAGGAGGCAAAGGCAAAGGGGTCAAGGTCAGGGCAGAGGTGAGCAAACAGGAAGTTGAAAAAGGAATGGTCAAGGGGGTCAAACCGGTGCAGAGTTGAAACTGAGGCAGAAAATGTCAGATTGTTAATGTGTTAAAGGAGTGAGACGCAATGCAAAAAAGACACAGTCACAGTAGAAGTGCTCATCAGGAAGGGGAGATGTGAGGAAGCATTCATTCCTACCAACACATTTCTGTATGCATGGTTACGCCCACTGGTCATACAGATTTGAATGCCAGATGTCAACCATTGATGCATGCAAAACAAATCTGAGGGACACGACATTGAGGGTGTTAAAACTATAGGACTATCCAATCAGATGCAGATTTGAAGGGTAACTTCACTTAAACACAAACTATAGGGTCTATAAAGCAAGATGACACAGGTAGAGGAGGGGCTTATGTTAAAGGAAGAGATCCAGGTAGTGAGAGTTAGCCTTGCCAGACTGATGTTTGGAACTAGGTTTTGAATAGGGTTGTGGAGGGACAATGTGATCCCACATCAGCATTAACTTACCAGTGTCTCTCCAGACAGCACCTCCAGCAGTGAGATGAGGTTGTGTCCATCTCTGAGATCCTCGTACAGGTCTGTGATGTGTCGCTGGGCCTGACAAAAAAAACAGGAAATCATAACAAATTATGGAAATTGTGAGAAGTGGAAGACTGTATGAATAAGACAATATTATGCTAATAACTCAGGAATGCTTGATTATTATAATTGATTGACTGTATAGCACCGGGAAGTCAAATATTTGGGGCCAGTAACCTTTTTTTTTTTTTTACTTTTTTTTAATCAAAAGTGACAGTAAAGAAATTAATAATGTCACAAAATATTTCCATTTTAAATAAAAGCTGTTGTTTTGAACTTTCTATTAATCTAAAAATACTGAAAAAAATATTAAAGAAATATAAGCAGCACTAAAATATTATTGAAAAATAGTGATCACAAAAACCAGACAATTATTTCAAAAAACATTACAAATTCTTACCAACATAAAACTTTTGAATGGTATTGTATTTAAAATAATTGTACAATATGTCAACTTCTAAATGACTTGATAGGTAAGTTTATTTTTTGATGATTACCATCTGACTATACATTACCTATTGTTTTATTATCATTCCATATTTCTTTCTAAAAGAAAGTTTTAAGTTAATTTAAAAATGTACGCATTTTTGTAAGCATTAAGACTACAAACAAAACATACACACACCGCAAATATCATGATGTTTCCAGTCTCTGAGGAAAATATGGGTAAAGGTAATTTAAATTGACCTTTCTCACAAAAAAAAAAAAAACTGTTGAGACAGAGCATTCCATATGTGACTCAGTTTTCAATGACACCAGACATCCATTAAAAATAACCTTGGGATTTTAATATTTACAAAAATGGCTCAGGAAAGTGAAGTTAGATGGTTCTGTACTACAAAATTCATACATTTGTGGGCCACTGTATCTAATGAAACTGGATTTACTCTTTGACAAAGGACAATATCTGGAGGCTGAAGCAGTAAACACAGAAAGTACTAAAGGAGACAGAATACACAAGGGGGGGACATCTTAAGTGTTAGAAAACTGCATTTCATGCAAGGAAGGCAGGGAGGGTGTGTGTTAGCTCTAGGTTCAGATGTAGGAAACTACGGTGCATGTGTAACCCATGCAGGACATAACAGAAGTCACTCTGCAAAGGTGTGATCACAGACACCACCTACCTCTGCCTTCCAGTGCTGACATAGACACATGGAGGAAAGGATGGAAAATGGAAAGATAAAAAAGAGCAAGGTTGGAACAGATGGGAAATACAATGAGTACTGTAAGATAGACAGTGAGAGACAAACAGATATAACAGTGAAATGAGCAGATGACACTGTAATAGAGTATTGTATGATGGGGTGAATATAACATTTAAATTGATTTGAATCTTTTAATGGACATTTAAATGTATAAAATGATGACTGAAACAATATATTTGTTTAGATTTAATATTCAATTATGAAGCAACAAATCAAATATGATAGAGCACTGCACATAATGTATGTGACATAACATCTATATTTAATTGTCTTTTGAATGTAATTCCAAGCATATTATTAAGCCTGAAACAGCAATGAAACATCACTAACACATCTGCTGAAACCATCATTTTGGCATTTCATTCTAAATAAACCTTTTTAATCTTTAAGGTTGGCGTTCTCTGTGCCCAGATTGAAATGAGAGACAGAAAGGCTTTGCTGCTGTCCAGGGTTTCCATCCCAAACGGCACACGAACAACCCACAGCAAAGCCTCTGAGTCACTGGATCTGAACTGCAGACCACCAAATAAACCCTACGCCTCCTCCTCGGAGGAAGAAAAATCAGTCTAGCACGATTAAAAAAAATAACACGGCTTCAGTCAAAATGAAAAGTGCTTACCTATTTTATTTTAATAATTAAATGATTTATTTTTTTATCATTTATTATTATTGTTTCATTTATTTTACTTGTTGTTTAAATCAAATTACAGATATAAGGTATAGTGTTTTGTTTGACAATTGTTGATCTAATTGTCACTGTACAGTACAATGAAGCATCACTCGTTTAGCTTTCTCTGTTTGTTCTAGGGGTAAAACAGTTGTTCCAAATTGGCGCAACTGCTCGTGGCAGCAGCCAGGGCAGGGGGCGCCTGTGGGCCAGACTGTCGGATGAAATACAAGTGGTACCAAGAAAACGATCTGTTTCTTGGGGGATATAAAATGAGACCAGATGTTGATGACTCATCCTCAAACACTCATAAATAAATAAACAGCACCCTTCAGCAGTGCAGTGTACTGGGTGTATACAGGATGATTATTTAACCACCATGATCTCCGCAGCGGTGGCACATAAGTACAGTACATTCGCCATATGTTTTCACATACAGCTTAGACAAACAAAAACTGTATCTCCCGCTGAACTGATGGCTTTTCTCTCAATTCTCTCTCACACACGCTCCTATCATTTTCACTCTTGCACTTCGTCATACCCTGTTATTTTCCATGTAATGACAGACAAATAACAATGTTTTCTGTGTCGTTTTAGCATGTGCTAATAGTTCCCAATCAAGCAGCTGTCACTAATTATTTGTAGTTGTCAACTTGAGTCCTTGAGATATTCCTTCAAATTATGAATTGATAAAGTGGCCATTGGTCAAACTAGACTTTGAGCTACATTACTAATACGAAGTGTATATTTAAAAAATTAAACTCTCTAACAATGTGTTAATGACCTGAAATCCAATTAATAAATCAACAAGCTAAATTTAAAAAAATGCTTCATGGAAGAATCATATGTGGTTCCCCAAAGAACCGGTCAGTGAACAGTTCTTAAAATAACCTTTTTTTTTCTTAGTGTGAAGAACATTTAAAAAAATCTAAAGAAACATTGTTCCACTATAAAGAACCTTTTGTTCCATGGATGTTAAAGCTTCTTCATGGAACAGGAAACGCTAATAAAGAACCTTTATTTTTAAGAGTGTAGAATCAAGCCATTGAGCAAAAGGAACATGTACATTGCATATGATTCACAATACGATTCAATTGAATCTCTGTGACCGTATGATTCTCAAGCACCTTGAGTAATTGTATACGGCTGTAAACTTAGAATTGTTTGCGATTGTTTGAATTTGTTATCTGGATGGTAATACCTTCATCAGATGCTTGTTCACCCATTTTGTGAAGGTCTTTTTCTGTACTCGATCTCGTTCATCTGCAAGACACAAAAAGTACAAAATTTCAGTCAAATCAGAGAGGAACACTGAAAACCACTGAATGTTATAGCATACTAATGAAAACTTCGGAATTTATGAGTAGTTCTCTTTATTCTCAGATAATAGTGCTCTATGTGGTTTCACATTGAGAGGATTTTAGAGAAGCAAAGGCTTAGAGGAATTATAATTCGTTTTTCATAATATTTGCATGTGATATGTCGTTATAGTTTTTTCATATACTTTTACATTTTATAAATGCACTACCATTTAAAAGTTTGGGGTCAATAATATTTTTTTTTGATAGAAATTAAATATTTAATTCAGCAAAGACACTGAATTCAAATTTACACTGTAAATTTAATCAAAAGTGACAGCAAAGACATTTGTGATGTTACAAAAGATTTCTATTACAAATATATCCATCAAAGAATCCTGAAAAAAAAGTATCACAGTTTGAACACCTAATCAGCATATTAGAATGATTTATGAAGGATCATGTGACACTGAAGACTTGGAGTAAAGATGGTGAAAATTCAGCATTGCCGTCACATAAATTACCCTTTAAAATATATTAAAGTAGAAAAAAGTTATTTTGAATTGTAATCATACCCCAAGCTTTTGAATAGCAGTGTATGTTATGAAGCAGAATTCAATGCCAAATCGCAGTGTTCTCAGTGGTAGCCTATTTAATCAGCCAAAATTGTGCACTGTGATTGGGTGGGCCCACGTTATGAACATGCATATCTTAAAGATACCACAGTGTAAATTAGCGGTCTACATTTGCTTGTTTGAGCACTTCAAAAATTGCACTGGTGAAAGTGAACGGGTTGAATGATTTTTAGCTCTTTAAATTGCAGCTGACTGACTTAATTTAAAAGTTTTTCAGTTCTTTGTTTTATTTTCTTCACTTGAGTTCAGACATTTGCAGGTCTTAGTGATTAGTGATTCACTACTAGCTAGCAAAATAAATAATTAAAAAAAATAATATAATTGTCTGGAACTTATGCCTGCTACAGTCTGTGCGATTCTAGCAATCATATAAGATCATTACAAATCACATTGTATTACATGGATCTAATAAACTTGGGTACGACATGCATCGTAGGCTATGACGTAAGTTAGTATAGAAAAAAAACATCATCAGCAAGCGCAAGATGAATCACACTTTCACAACTGTGGTGTTTTATGTGCACTGAAAAAAGAAGAGCAGGCGAAAGAGGAGAATATAGACTAAAGAGGCCAACTCGGCATGCCAATTTTGCAAATGGAGCTTGAGATAGTTTTAAGTTTTAGTGCCATTCACGTTGATCAATACGCCATTTCATGTTGCATTTTTATTGGCTAGTCAGTAGACTTAGGTCATCATGCTAAATTTCTGATACTGTCAGAAAAATATCACAGGATATCTCTGGTCACAAGACCATGACAATGTCTTTGAACCTCTCTCACTGTCCGACGTATGGCCACCGTTTAGGAGCCACGACCACAGAAATTGCCACGATTGGTCATCTTTTGTTTGGGACAGCCTAAAATCGTATAATGTGAACCGGGAATAAGATGCTTCTGAGAAACCCATGACTGACCTCAAATAAGGTTTTACCAGCACTGTTTTACTATTTTATTTCCTCCTCAATTTGTTTAGAAGCTTTCAAATGTTCCGTGTTTACCTTCATCTTGAATTACCATCATCAATGTCATTAAACATTTATTTGGAAACTTGCTTCAAGTTGTGCTAAAGGAATGAGATGTTCCAGAAGTAATCTAATGGGTTTCACAATGATCTAGTGAAAATGCGTTATGATAAGAGAGCGATTCGATAAAACCAGTATAAATGCCACTTTCAGGTTTCTTTCTGACTATCTGATGTTACACTTGAGCTAGCATGAAAGCAATAAGAGAAAACAGGACAATGCAAGTGGAGCTGTAGTTGAAGGACATTTGGAGAAGAACACAGGAAGCACAGATAAAGCACTAAGACTGATGATGTTTCTGATGACCAGCAAGCGTGACTGAAATTCTTGTGATCAGCCTCCAAAGTTCTGTTTATCATCAAAACACTGCAAGATAACATAATGCAGGACAACTAGCTATATCAAAACAGCTGCAGGGCATTGGATGCATGTTGTTGTTCTGTCATTCTGTTGCCATGGTGACAACGCCAGTTGGCATCACTATATCACTTCCTGTTTCTCAAAACTCGTGCTATCACGAAAACCAATTCCTTTGAAAGGATAATGACTCATTGTATTAAGTCCTTTATGAAACAATAAATATCTATCTAGTCAACCACAACTGAGTAACCTAGTTACATTTTTACATATTACACTGCATAAAATGCAAACATTTTGATAACCACAAAACATTCAGAAGCATGTGGAGACATGAAAAGACGACACAGGTGGTGCGTTTTACTGCAGTTTTGAGTAAGTCTAAGTGATCATTTCCATCAGTGAGCTGGTCTGAGAACAGCTCTAAGACATGTGTGAATGGTTGCAAAGGTCAAAGGCCAGATCAGGGTGGCACTTTAAAATTCCAAGCAAAACTTCAACAGACATGTAGAGCCTCATTGAAAGGTAACTATTGAAAGGTAACGCCTTACATGCACATTCGACATAAAAGCCTAGTTAAGTTTAGGTTTTCAAGCTTTCATGGTCTGACAAGGAGAAACACAAGATCTGAGGGAAGACGCATTCCTCTGCACAGCAGCTTGAATTTGACACTCGTAAAACTGAAAGCATAGCTTGAGGGAATAGAGTTTTACCGTATGAAGTAATAAGTCAGTGTAAATTATAGTCAGAAATAAATCAATAACATATACAACGTTTGAGCTGTGCTGTACCAAAACATGCCAATTGTGTGCACACGGGACCACAACCCAGATTTGGGATACGCCTTTGCAATGGCCCCTCCTTTTGGAGCCCCAAAACATCCATTTGACATCTTTCCCATCTTATCATTAGTTGGAAAGATTACAAGTACTTTTCACCTGTCCATGGAGAGCCAATTATGATGCAGAATTATAACTTGATCGCATAATGTTAAAATAGCTCAAGGAACCTCAAATGTGTGCCAATGGTCCTTGACATATTACGACTGCAGATGTTAACATTATACTGCAGAACTTACCAAGCAAAGATTAAATAGGATATCAAAATTAGATAGATTTAGTGTCTCATAGCTAGCATGGAAGAATGAAGAATCAAACGAAGAATTTCCGCTGTACCTTTTCTTTCATCCATGGCCCTGAGCATCCCCTGGTAAGGGCTTTCCTCTGAGAAGACCACATCACTGCCGACGCTGTCAGTGGAGTACGTTCTGTACCCTTGATATACAGCCATTCCTGCACTTCAGTTCTTTCAGTAAAGCCACAGTTTCACACTTTCTACCGATCTGTTTAAACCACCTGAACTGTTTCTTTTCACCCAGTCTGGCGTTTCAAAAAGCGAAAGAGAAGACCCATGCAGTCGAGTGGGTGTGTTCCAAGCCTGCTCGATTCGCCCTCCCTTTTCTCACTTTTCTTCCCCTCCAGTTCTGTTTCTCTCTCTCCCTCGGCTTTCTTTTTCCACACTTCTAGCTAAATACCTGTCTTTAGGCTATAAATACAAAAGCCGTCCTCTTTTTTGAATGGGGGTCTCTAATTTTGTGGTTGAAAAAAGTGTGAACACGCACACACAAAAAACATTGTGGCTGACCACATGTTGATGGTGTACAGCTGAGGAAATGACATGACAAACAGCAAAAAGTTAGAGAAAAATGAAAAACACAGCAGAGAATATGATTCATCGTTCTTTTTTAAATACTATACGTAAACTGCAGCTCAGAAGCACAAAAGCCGCACATTTCTCACAGACTTAAAACAGTTAACAGTTACCGCAGCTCACATCTGCAAACACAAGAGAAGCAGCTGCCCTGGGAATGTGACCAGTGAAAAGCCTGAACACAGTAAATTGTCTGTAAATTAAAAGCCAATCAGAACATATTTGATGTTTAATATACAGAATTTTGGACTAATCAGATGTCACTGTGGGCGGAGTGGTATCCAAGCTTTGACTTTGACATGGTCGCGACTGGTTAGGACATAAACTTGGTATAAGCAAGTTATTTTACTGTACAAGCTACTTCAGTAGCAAGCAATGGAAATAAGTCGCCATGTAATGTACCAAGGGAAAAATCAAGGCGAGGGTCTGTTTCCATCTGGGTATTCCATCTGTTTGGGATGGGGAGAAGGGGGTTGGTGTTCCACCAACCGGGAAATCCCACTCATAGGGGAAAATGTGACTAATTTCAGGAGTCGCACAGAAAGGCTCTTGTAGTCTCAAGTAGGAGGTTCAGATCTTCAGTGTCAGGAGTCGCTGATGCTCTTTGGTTGATGTAGATAGTCAAAACAAAGACATTATTTCATGCAGTCCTGCCAAAGTCATCCTAGACAGGCAAAAATGCGGCTGAACACAAGAGAACCCCTGTGCATGTGTGGTTGCAATAAAGGCATCTCCTAAAGGCAGCATTTGAAACGAGCATGTGTGTGAATACAAACAGACGATGCAAAGATTCAAAAAGTCTCTCTTTCCCCGAACAATGGACCCCTACTATCAGCAGCACAAAAAATGACAAGCAAGTCACTTCTTTGAAGTGTGTGCATGTGCATATGGAGGAGTGAGAGGAGTCATATTCCTGAGTGCACAGGTGTGACTGGAACATTAACCTCACAGACAATCTCTACGTTGGAAAGGATGGCAGGCGGATCGCAGGTAGGAATGGAGGATTCTTTGCATTGCAGCTCGGGGCCGTGGCCTGTTTAGGCTTGAGCTGGAAGACCTGCAGCTATTACCCATCTGCCTTGACTGAAGACAACGCTAACCAGAGTCACTAGCAGTGTTGTGTTTACAGCAACACAACAAATGTAATGAGATGAGCTAAAATATGAAATCCAAATTAATGCAAAGACTATAAATAGCACATCTGCACACAGATATCAATTATGTGCAAATCTTGAGAGAAA